TGTAAATGCTGTTTTAGATACATTTCTGATTCTTTTTTCTTTTTTTTCCTTTTCCTTTTAAAATGTAGATATATTTCTTTCTAGTCTTGGTTACAGCTGCACATTTAAATTATTATCAGTTCTACTAATCATATTAATTGTCTACTGGTAACGAATCTATTTTTTTGCCGTGACTGAAGCTTTCATTTCAGTTTACACATGTTGAATTTTTTTTTATCAGAAATGATTGTGGCTTCAGATAACATTTCTTTGCAATAAATTTTAAAAATTGACAAAATACAAGCGGTGGGCTCTGGGGACTTGGTTGAGTGGCAGTTGCTTAGGTGAACGACAAGCAATTTAATCAAAGTACTCATGTCAGAGGGTAGAGCAATCATCCCCATTTTGGACATGGACGTTTTTAAATGCCTCGTGTTCTAGGAAGTGGGCAGTGTAGACCGATCATTAGGATCTATATATCTGCCAGACGTGAAGTGAGTCTTCATTCTGCCCACTTGTTTTATTGTTTGATCATGACTAATTTTAGGCGCAAGTGCAGTGAAACACACTAGTACTTTGTTTCATCCAATTTTAAGATATCATTGCCTTTTTTATGCCTTCAATTTCAAAACATTTTAGTGCCTTTTTAGGTGCTCAAAACTTAAGTGCCTTAACATCCAATGTCTAATCATATTGATAAACTGTTCATGGAGAAAAAACAAATCAAAAGTTTTGAGAAGTAAAGAAAAATCTAGGCTAGTCTTACTTTCAGTTAAAATAAATATTGAGAGCTACCAATATAAACATTGTGAATTTTGATCCTTCAATTTAAAGTAGAGAATTCAGTTATACACGGCATTCATAGTAGATTTGAAAACAAATTAGGCAAGAAAACCTCTCTATATTGTTTTAATATTTATTGTACTAGAAGCAGAAAATTTAAGCATATTAATGTCCAGGAACATTTGTCAAAAACAACTTTGAAAATCAAGTTTAAGTCTTCCTGTTGATCCCTGCGTTCTTGGGTACAATTTTATCATTCATGGGACTCTCAAAAACTTAATTCCAGTGAGTGTTTAACAAAAAGCTATGGAAGACAACGGTTAAGAGAATATATTTTTTTTGCATAGAGCAATATTTTTTTGTGTATCTCATTAAACAATTTCATTAGGATACACAGAAAAATATAAGGTTGTTAAGAATTTAGATGGTATGAGAGGGAATGGAAAATGAGGGTAGAGAAATGAAGCATAGGATTAAATTTTGAATTTAGAGGGTGAGGGGAAAAAAGACTTGTTATTCTTTACCAATACAGTTAATTCATTTTCGAATTTAAGGAAAGTATTTGAATGTTTTAGACTCGCTAGTACTTTATTCCAGGCTAAGATAACTGTAATGGTGAATGATCTACTGAATGAAGTGGTGATGTGGTACACAAACCACGGCTGTATCACGAGATCAATTTAATTTCACAACATTAAAGAAACTCATGAGTATTACATGAAAACCATTCAAAATTTTATGAAGAAGAAACAGAGTGGATTAACAGTCTTTTAATGAATTGTAAATAATAATTTATTGTAAATTTCAAGAACATGAACAATACTAACCTCTTTGTGGTCTTAAGAGGGCCTCTTCCATCAATAGGATTACCCAAAGCATCCACAACACGACCCAGAATATCTTCACCAACAGGTACATCTACAATAGCACCTGTTCTCTTCACAATATCTCCCTCCTTAATAAGCTTGTCATTACCAAATACTACTACACCAACATTGTCAGGTTCCAAGTTCAAGGCCATACCCTACAGCAAATTACAATTATGAAATCAATGTAAAAATGCAACATACAATACAGAATTCTTTATCAAATGTTACCTTTAATCCAGAGGAGAATTCAACCATCTCCTCTGCTTGGATGTTTTTGAGACCGTAGACTCTTGCAATACCATCACCAATACTTAGCACACGGCCTGTCTCCTCTAGGTCAGACTGAACAAAAAAAAGCATTCAGTAACAATTGTGTAACTACATTACTAACACAATAAAAACATTATATGGTCCATTTTCTTGAAGCCCTTGCCACTGGGTAGCATAAAATACATGATCTATGCCCAACAATGACATAACTATGATTTTTCACCAACTGAAATATTCAGTCAAACTTGAGAGAAAAATTGAAAGAGCATTTATTACCCCTGCCAAGAAGACTCCCCCCCCCCTTCTTTCCCCACACAGCAAAATACATTTTAGATTTTGAAACAAATTTTAGAATGGGTTCCACATGGAAGAAAGAAGGACAAACCAGAGATAGGAATTAAAGAATTGGATACCCGATTCACAATTTATGATTTGTCACAAGGTCAAGATATGTAAATCACACAAATCCTAACTGAAGTTCAATATACAGATAGTTTTCTGTAACATATGTCATTAATATTTCATACATTACTATTTCCATGATTCCTTCAATGACTGGAAAAGTACAAGAAAACTTGATACACAATGTACTATAACTAAGGCAGAGCTAAATTGCACACAAATTGATACTATACCACCTAAATATTTGACAAAATTATTTTAGTAAACCTCTGCAACATTTTTAATTTCTCACAAATACAATTTACATATCCAGATATTGTTTTGTACCTGTGTCCATATCACACAAATATAAAATTTAAACTGAACTGTGTTAGGCACTTCAGAGGAAAATTTTTAAAACTTGAAAGCATTATGTAACTGGCACAATTATCAAAGTGGAGGAATTTTAAACTATGTTTTTAGAATTATAGCAAAATCCAAAATGCCCTATAACCAGACCTGGATTCATGTCAAACTAGTCAAGTACATTACATAACTGTTACCCATTACAAAATAATATTCAATATACACTTACTTTTGGGGCTGAACCTAAAATTCTCTCCTCCAGAATCGAGGAGATTTCTGCTGCCCTCTGGCTGCAGGAGATGTGAAACTTGCGGTTTGCAAGCTGAGCTGCAGGCCATGCCAAACTGCTGATCTACAATTAAGTTTCAGGGGAGTTAACATGACTAATACTATAAAAATACCACAAGATTAATTTCTTTTCAAAGATTTTATGATAAAAAGGAATACACACTTTCTTGAATCTGACAAGAATTAAATCTCCTTAACATCAGGACAAAATTGACACATTTAAAAATCTGGCACTATTTTACTCCACGCCCCCTACGTGCCCCGTTACGTAATTGGCGAATTCATATTTTCGTAACAGGTAATTCCTCGGACAGTTCTTGGGACAAATATTTTTTTCGAATATTTATTTTATCTTCTAGGCAAAGCGCCAATAAACATTACATTGAAATAGTACGGAAACTGGAGACAGTAGGGAAGACCTTAAAAATGGCTAACTATTGATGGGACCGGTGTACGCATAATTTGGCCTTCCATTTTCAAGAAAAAGAAACCAGAACAAAAATAGAAGCAGAGAGAGATGATAGTGGGAAATATTCTCATGAAATACATTATTAATTAAGTGCAATATATTACGAGCTGTGTGGAACGGGATGTAGGTACCGCACTGTGTGCCGCATATCGAAATCAGCCCATTCTACTAGCACCAGCTTCTCACACATAACTATTATCACACACATCAATTTAAAATTACCTGGGGAGTAGCATTTGGAACTTGTCTCGCAACAACAGAAGCCAAACGTAATGAAAGAAGAGCCATGACTGCTACCAAATGCTTTAACGTAAGATGGAGGAGAGTCGAGAAGAACAGGCGATAGCCTGGCCTCCCATGAATCAATGCGATGAAATCTTCACCCCAAAACTGTTTTAAGTCGTTTAAAGATCAAGAAAGTTTTAAATGTTTAAAAGTAAACCTATACCTATTTTTTTGCAAAAATATTAATTTAAGACAAAAGCTAAAGTTAAAGTACCTATGTAAACAAAAATTACTGAAAAGAATAATTAAGTATTTAGACTTATTGCTACTAGAGTGTGCTAGTAGAGTTGTAACATTGAGGTCGGCACCACTTGGGGCGCTAGTATCAACCAAGATCACATGGTAGGAGCGTCGAACTTCCCAGGCGGGCAAGTAGCTCCCGTGCTCACTGATTTTACATGCTTGCTCCACATCTGAACCACGACCGACTTTACAAGTATAGTAAAGTCGGCCTTCTCTAAACAAACACATCACTTTCTGAGAGTGCAATAATCGAACTGCCACGCGTTTACTGAGAAACGTGCGGTTACTGCATAATTACACATTATAATTTCTTTCAAATTCTTCAGTGTTTCTGCGGGTTTTCTCATATTTCTTATTTTTAATTTTTCCTATGTGTTTTTCCATTTTTTCTCTAGGTCTTTGGAAGGGCATGGCCCCCATGTCTGGATCCTTCACTGAAGTTGAGCAGGACTGTTAGAGGAAGTAACTTTCTACATAAAGGAGCAAGAATTATCCACTTTTTCGATAGCAGTGACCCTCAAAACAACTTTTTCTGGCGAAAAATGGCCGTTTTCGCAGCAGTATGACTTAACCTTATCTATTCTATGTAAGTAGTGAAAGATACGTTTTTTTATTTCAACATAAATCAAAAATTATTTATAAAAAATGTCAAATCGGCTTGTCACTACTTCTGTACTCCCGTAGAAAAATCCTGGTTCCGCCACTGATTGTGATATAATTAGTGAGAGGGCAGCAGAGAACCCCATTTGCTCGCTTGCACTCGCTCGAGCATTTCAGCCTTGAATGCCTTTTAATCAAGCTTCTTGCACGCACCCACGGAGGGCAGATTCACGCGCCTGCGCGTTGGGATTGACGGCATCACTCAAGAGGGCTAGATGGAGCGCTCTTGGATTCGCTGGGTTCAAACATGTACTACAACGTGATATGTATTATTATTAATATTAATCTTTTAAATTGGTTGTCACAAAATAATTATATTTACTTGTTGTTTAGTCCCTTATTTTACATTATGCACAACCACAATTGTGTCCATAATTTAATTGTGGTTGTCCATAATTTAATATAACACTAAACTAACTAAACAGAAAGTAAATATACTGCAACGCGGGCACGCCGATACCTGCATACGCTGCAGATAAACAGTTCTCCTCATCTAGTAATGGTGGACACATTTTTTTTATTAAAAAAGCGTGCTGATTTGACAGTGTCGAGATCTGGCAGTACTTCCTAGTACCTACCAATTCCACGCGTGTGAGAGGTAGTGAACGGACTGCGGACCATGCAAATCGAGAATTTTATCGAAATTATTTCCAGTGACTAGGAAGAAAATGCACTCCTTTTGTGAAAACAGTAAATAAAAATATAACCATTGATTAGGAGGGCTACTGAATGGGCTATTATAATATTGCATTCAAAATAGAGAATTTTAACCAAAAGGAGAAGGGAATTAAGTCATGTTCACCAAATGTCTGTCTCTCCCCTCCCCAAGCGTGGGAATTAAACTAGGCGCAGGCATGGGGGACACCTGGCCGACAAAGTGTGACAATCAACCCAAAATGCCAAGTTCATACCTGTTACATTTCCGACAGTTCGCGCGGAGACAGTTAATTTGATTAACTTGATCAGTGCAATTATATCTACATATAAATAAAAGAGAATGTGCTTATGACTGCAAATATACTAGATGAAAAAACTACTAGACCTATTTCAATGAAATGTTCACATTTTGTTCTTATTTGCATCTGGAGTATTTAAAGAGTGGTTTGAATTAAATCGCGCATCTCGGGCGTTGTTGATGTTTCGTGTTTACGATAACTCGCTGTGTACTCAAGCACCCCTGAACAGAAGTGCTAGGCAACCCGCCGCACCGTCAAGTATTAAGCGCGTGTTGGCTGCATATTCTGCCCTTGCGATGTAACACATCGGCCGGAATTTTACTTGATTGCTTCATGATATTATTTACATGTTAACTTAGACAAGTTAATAAAATTTCTCCAAGACAGTGTCATAGCGAACGCATGTCCAAACTTGAGGGAGAACGTTTTAGCAGTACTTAACAATTACGTGATTAGTGACGTGTGAAGTCTAATATATGGCAATAGCGAAGCATTGCCGGGTCCGCTAGCGTATGAATATAGAATATAAATTGTTAACTTCAATATATCGAAGCATTTGATCCCCAGTCCGTAGCCTGGGTCACTCCGTTGAGGGGGGGTTCCAATTTGATATCCAATTATTAAAAGATCCATCTCTCCCAGCATACTTACAGAAATATTGTACCGCAGCGAGAAAACTGAAGTTTTGACTGCTTTGCGCGCCAGCTGACGCCGTTGCAGTTCCGAAATGCAACGGTGCCGCAATGCCTATAAAAAGATGAAGGACTAGCCGTTAGTTAAAGTAAAGGGGAGGAGCGTGGTGCGGGCGAGGAAGGACGTGCCTCCTCCGTCGCCTCCGACGCAGTAGCAGCGGCCACCGCGCGAAGGTTCGCGCTCCCGCGAGGGAGAACGCGGCGCCTCCGACTGCGTGTCGGCCGCTCTCCTCTCCTGAATCCTGGCGCGTCGCTCGCGATCCCGCTGCTAGCGCTCGAACTGCCTCTCATGGGCTGCCGTCCCCCTGGAAGAACGGAGCTGATACTCGCGGCAACCCTTGTACTTCACGAAGTGATGTTGCCGCCACAGTTTGAGCATGTAAACTCTGTCACTGGAGGGTTTACCCCCAGCGGGCACCGCGCTGCGTGTTGGGTTCCCCACACTGCTGCCAACGCGTGCGGCGTATGCAATTTCGTACCACGTGACCGAAATCTAGGCAATTGTGATACGGCGTCGGCACGCGTGGTGAGCGATACATCTCGACGTGTACGCGGATCCCACGAATTGCGTTTACCTCTCTGAGCGCCGGTGGCGCTCCGTGTCATCCAGATTGGCGATGAGTAGTGGAAGCACCCTGCCTCGGCCGCTGGCTGGTCATCCTCTCCAATGCGACGAACCATATTAAGAAAATAAAGAAAAAAAACTTTGAAAGTATAAATTTTCACTACATGGCCCGCGCCCAAGCAACCGAGCGGGAAAAATCGCCGCTGGGAAAAACAACCGAGTGGGAAAGAAATAGCTCTTCGGAAAATAAGTTGACAATTTTGGACATGACCTTGAGTACTTCCAAAAACTTCAGAATCGTATATATACAAGATGCACAAAGCGTCAGGGGCAGTTCTGAGCCGACATCGCCAGTGTCAGGTTCGCCACAAGCCCTCACGCGGTCGACCGTTGGGCCAGTCATGAGCCAAGAAGGAGCCGCGACACCTCTGCAGGGAGAGATAGGTGCCATGGTAAGCAGCTGATTCTCAGGAGTGCCTGTCGACTTCCCTTTTCTTCTTCTTCTTCTTCTTCTTCTTCTTCTTCTTCTTCTTCTTCTCTCTTTCTCTCTCTCTCCCTCCTTCATTTAAACTTTATGTAGAAAATTGGTGACGGTTAGGCGGGCGGGCATCTGACGGCCCGTTTCCCTGCGTCGATCTGAGAACGGACGGGGTATTTTTTAAGCAAATTCTTTCATTAGATGAGGAAGCCGCGACGCTTCGAGTTTCCATTGCTTCATTCCCCGTTTCTACCATGGGCGCCGGTTCCGTCCCCCTAGGAGGGATTAGAAATTGCATTGGTGAGACGTGGTACGAGTCGACACTACGACTCTTTTTTTAGCCTTAAAAAGGGCTGTTGATGTACAAATAGCCCAAAAAGTGGAAAGATAGTCTTTTGCTTTCCTAGCTCTGAAAATCACTGCTGTCCTATGGTGGCCAAAGGTCCTTCGGGGCAGAAGCGCTCCAAAGTTGCGTCCGTCCTCCTCGGCGGCTGGTGCTAGGAAATTCGAGTGCAAGTATGAGTAGTGATGAATCTTAAACGACGGTCTCGTCTCCTGGTCGCGTGTTGTCTGTCGGATGTGTGTTTTCCACGTCTCCATAGATATCGTTGGTTGGAATTTCTACCCTCTAAGTCGTAATGCTCAATATGGGTCATTTTCAGTTGTTTCTATTTGCTATCGGTTTCATGTGATTCCGTTTCTTCTTTTTAATTACTTCCTTATATTTACTTCCTGCAATGTGGTATTTTACTAACTCCTCTGCCCTCTTCGATGAGCGTTCTTAATATAGCATTTTCGAAGATTTGTTTTCTGGCGTGATAACATTCTTGGTAAAACTATATTTGTGATTTACTTACTCTGATTGGGGCTGCTACTTTTTTATGCTTTAACTTATTCTCTCATTTCCGTAATTTATTTTCCCTTTGGATGAGTTGTTGTTGTTGTTGTTGTTATTATTATTATTATTATTATTATTATTATTATTATTATTATTATATTCTCATCTTCTTCCTCAAATAGCTTAACCTTATCTTGATCTAGTCGTTTAGGAATTCTGCTTGTCCCAGTATATACTCTCTGTATAGCCTAGAGGTGTGCTAAAGGCGATGGATGTGGGATAGGCAAAGTTCAAAGTCGAACGTCATTTCGCCCGTTTTAATCGGTAAATTCCCGATAACTTCTGCGTATGCCCTATAGGTGCGCTGTAAGCGCTGTAAATCGAGAGGAGTCGATCTGACTGAAATTTTGTATACATTGCTTTTTATGCGAGTTAAAACACCCCACCACCCCGCTGCTTGCTTACTTATCTGTTCATGAATTGAATCAAATTGAACAGGAAAGTTGCAATGTATTTTAGTGGGCCCCAATAATGTGAAAAATGTGATATTAATATCGTGGTTATGATGAAACATTCCAAAGACGAATATTATGTTTACTGACGTTTAACAAACAGTGAAGAAGTTACGCGTGATACAGCTGTGGAAAGTGTCATATAAGTGTCATTTTCAGTGACAATGGCTCAGTGCAAGTTAACTCCACACGAATTTATTCAGAATGCTTTCTCACCCATGGTATCAGTAATGTGTAGCCCATCTGTCGACCAGACATGCCAAAAAAACAATTTGTCTTTCATTGAAATGATTCAGCCCTTTTGTAAAATTAACACAGAAGGTATGTATTCCTTTATTCTTTTGGAAACGTTCGTACTTTACCTTTACATGAGGTATATCAATGTTTTTATACCCTTTTTAAATTAAATTTTTTAAATGTATCGACGGAGTTCGATCTTCAATCAGTGCAACATAACCTTGAAAGTCCACTTCGTATTTTTCCTCACCAGCTCATTTTCGAGATCCATCTGGGAACACTGTAACAATAAGAAATCTTAGAATTACAATGCTGGATGTCAACTCTCGGCCACCTCAACCAACATTAGCTCGGAAGTTCTTGAATGAATCTGTCAGTTTAGCATCAAGTGACAGAACTTCTGCATTACAGATAGGTAATTTTTGGGTGTGCATTTACTTGATTTTATTTTTTGTAACGCTTTTAAAAAATATTTTTAAAAATATTAAAACTTTGTACGTAGGTAACTCCGCAGTCGACATTCCAGCTTCTGTTCCTTGGTTTGAGGCATGGCGAGAAACATTTCTTCAAGTTCAGTTTCCATCTGATCATGAATTTACAAAGCATTATCTTAGCTGTATCCTTTTTATACTTATGTATGTATATTTGTAATTACTATGTTTTTAAAAAAAAGTTAAATGTGTTATAGTTTTATATTAGTTGTTTTTAAAAGGAAGTGTAGAATTTTATTTTGTTCTTATCAGATATTTTAGAAGAAATTGGTAAACATCATTTCTAGATTGTTGTAGAAAACATACAAATAAAATTATGCATTTTTATAGGTATTTCTTAAATAAGTGCAAACTTTTTTGTGGTAATTTTTTTAAGTGTTATTATTTGTCTGGTATTCCAAAAAAAACTAATTGAGGAGAAAGCAAGCCTTTTTCAGTTAGTACCATTATATCAAATATTTACTACTTAAAGAACGCTCATTATGTAGTAAACTGCACAATAATACCATCTGTATTTATTGTAATAATCTTATTGTAATCAATGTGCTGTACCTGTCTCGGATGGTTTCTGTTACTCAAGAAGTGTCTAAAACGGTAATCTAAATCAAGAGCTTTCTTGAACAATAATTGTGAAATTCAACCTTCAATAAAAGCCTGTATGATCTCAATGATCTATTTTAATATACAACATTCAATGATTTATTTTAATATGTTTTATTTACCAGAAGTCTTGTGTGAGACACTAGTGTATGGACAGTAATGCCTACCATTCTTGTATACCAGATGTTATTGCCACAGAGTTGGTGTACAGGTTTGTTTAAATTTAAGCAGATTCTACAGCCAATAAAGGAAACGTGCTTAACTTATATTTGTTTTTATTAATATATTTACTGACAATTATGATTTTATAAGACCTTAACTATAGCAGGTATCCTGGTAGTGTCTTCAGTTGAATCCAGCCCTGCTGATGTGTTGATACAAATGAATCAACAGTTGCAACAACTGCAGAATGTAACTCCAGCAAAGTTGCCCAAGTGGTTTTCTCCTAATGTCTTGCGCTACTATGTGTTACTACATGACGCACAAGAAGGGGGTGTGGAGAAGGCAGAATGTGCCTTTGAGAACATTAAAAATACTTATGGTGCTGCTAATTGTTACTTTCTGCAAATGAACTCTCGACCACCAGGTCAAGTTGATGATCAAACACATTTACCAGATCCGTGGAGTCAATTCCTTATCAGACACTTGGATGGGCAAGTAAGTGTTGGTCTGCTGGACTTGAAATTGAGATAGCCTTAGAAGAGTGTCTGGGAAAGGAAATTAAATTAATTTTATTATTATTATTAAAAGTTTAATTTAAACTTTTGTAATTAAATTCAGACCGATATGCTGAAGTTAATTATTTAATCTCACCAACGTAATTCATGCACCTTGCTTCATTGCCCAGTGGCTATAGAAAATTATTTAATAACTTCATATGTATATTAAAGGTTGGTTTATAATAGAAGCCCAATCCCATGTGTAGGAAGGCAGTGACCATGACAGCAGCCCTCGCACACCTGCAGAAGTGGGTGGCCTAACGGGAATGCCCATGCCCAGTCGCTTGGCAACTGAAGGCAGTTGTGATAGTGACATTTCTCCCAAGGAGACTGAATTGGCACAAGAGGCTGGTGAAGGTACGCCATCTGGGGCCATTACTGTCACCCGGCATCCTCTTAGCCCGAGTGCAGATAGTGAAGTTCCAGGTTCCTTTGGACCAACTAGTGAAAGGGTACGCAATGTTTTATTACTTTGATAGTCAACATCATAAATTGCTTATAAAATTTTCCAGAAATATTGAACGAATTTATTTATTATTTTATTTCTTTATTTACTTAAAAGAGAGGTGAATTTATTGACTAGGATGGTACCAAACTTAGTTTGTTCAGAGTGTACATTAATATAATTGTTGCATTTACAAATTGAGATCTATGTGGGTTTTTGGTGGGATAAAATTAAACAATTTTAAGTTTCCTCATTTAAATTCCTCAGGTTGAAGGAGTGATGAATGTGTAAAAATGACAGGTCCAATTCTTGGTTAAAATCTCTGAAATCAAAAAACTTGCAAAAGTTATAATAATTTGGGCTCCCTTCTACACCTGCATTTTTGAAAATAGGAATTTGGTTCTCTATGAAATCTATTCTTCAATATTAGATCTTTGAATAATGTAATGTAAATTTTTTCAAAATACTTTGGTTCTCGCATAATTTTGAGTGAAATTGTTACAATTGTAAAGGACATATGTAAACAAAATTTTATCAAAAAATGGTCTAAAGTTGGTATTTAATATTAATATTAAATACCAACCATTACCAATAATTTTAGACAGTTTGTGCTGTTGCAACACTACTGGTTGATTTTGTGTTTGAAAATTATTTTCGTTCTAGGTAGTACTACCTAATTAATTATGTATTTCTTTATGATTTGTTTCAATCATGAGTAATGGGAAAACAAGTATATAAAAACATTATTTCTATATTAGCATAATCTTTCCCCTATACTCTAAGACATCTTAGAGATTTATTCTTTGACACTGTTCCAAGTGAATGATGAAGTACCATTTTTACTCAAAGTATATAGCCTGGTGTCCTGTATTTTCAGACAGGCCACATGACTGACACTTCTGGATTGCCTTCTGGTCACATAAACAGTAATGTGTGGGCAGGGCAAGGGACTTGCATTGGGGGATCTCAAGCTGCCCATGGAGCTTGCCTCACTGCTGCAGACTTGGACCGTCTTCGGACACTTGTGCAAGATTTTTGCATTAAAGCATTGTTACCGCATGTAGAACGCCAAGTCCAACAACTTAGTGATGCTGTAAGTGACTTCCATTGCATTTGAACTGTCTAAGATGCTTGAAGTTCGCAAATTCATGGTTAATAAAAACTGACTAAAGTGTGTGGTACTACAGAATCATTAAATGTATTTATTCATTACTTCCAGACACTTGGGTTAGATTTCTTCTTTGGTCTTCTTTACCTTTATGCTGAGAAGTTTGTAGCATTTTAAAATACAACTATTTAGTTTGCTCCAAATTGATCAGAAATGTTTCTTGATGATTTTATTAGTGTTGAACTTGCAAAATTTGTTCCATTCCCTTGTCTGAAATAAATGTAGACATGGATTATCATCAACATACTTTATCATACATAGCTATTTAGGGAAAATAAGTAAAACAAGTTGGCTTATTGAATATTCTGAACTTCAAATTGTTTTTAATTAACACTTAATTATAATCAACTAGTTAGACCGATGCAAACATTTGTAAAATTATTACTTTGCACTTGTAAAATTATTACTTTAAAAAAGAAAATAGTTTTATCTATCCTGTAATCTTTTTTCCCATTGTTTATGCTTCTACTTTTGGTTGGTTTACATGCCATCCTTAAAATTTCAAGTAGCAGTAAGTGCCCAATCAATTACTATATAGATATAAACAAAATGGACTTTGCACATTCTTCCAGATATTTCCAACGTGACTGATCATTTTTTCAGGTTTCTAACAAGAAAGGTGTGAGTCGTTCTTTACTGAGTGCCACTAAACGCTGGTTTGGTAGTAACAAACCTGGCATGCCTAACGTCAATACTCCTACCAATGCTGTGATGTAAGTACAATTCCTTAATTTTAGTTGTTCTTGAATTAGGAATGTCATAGGATTGTAAATTCTTCAACAAAACTTTTTTATGCTCCTTTGTCTTTTCTAAATTAGTTTTGTAACCCATAAACTGTTTTCTGTAAGCCTTTTACATATTCTTTAGAATATTAAGAACAGGTTTGACTGTTAGTATGTGTATAATTTCTGTATAGCTGTAGTGAAACCCTTCTTTTACTCTCTTTTGAAGAGTCAGAGAAAATGTGGTGTAAATCGCAGGAAAATTTTAAAATAATTGCTATTGTCACATCATTTTTTTGGCAAAATTAATATCACAATTCTTGATTGTTAGACATTATTTCAAGTTATGCAATATAAGTTAACACTTACTTTATAATTACATCATTTCTAATGCTTATTCCCTTCTTTGCTTGTATTTTTGACATTTTTGGATTGTTGCAGATACGCTAGTGACGCTCCAGAGCTGCAGCTCCGGCGATTGGGAGATCTCTGCTTCATGTTTGGTCACTATGCCCTTGCCTTTCAAGCATACCACTCTGCCAAACGAGACTTTAGTGCGGACCAAGCCTGGCTCTACTATGCAGGGGCTCTGGAAATGGCAGCTCTGTCTGCATTCATGCAGGGAGAACCTACTCGCAAAGCTCAAGAGTACATGGAGGAAAGCATTGTCACCTACCTCAATTCGTGCAAGTTAGTATGTTGGAATGTAGGCTAACATAAGAACCAATACACTTGCTTATTTTTCATGAAATCCTGTAGTTTTGGTGAATGTATTCATGCACAGTGTTTTTTATTGGATCAGTGAAGTCCATTCCCCACTACAAGCTGTTGGTGATCTTTAACTTATCCAAATGGAAGCTTCTATTTTTTTAACTGCATCCCAGCTGATTGCCTGTAGGTTTGAGATTTGTTTTATTTGGAGAATAAATGATCCTATCCAACAATTTAGGATGGCTTGAATTTGTATTCTTCTTTGCATCTTCTCTTTACTTGATTTTTAAAGGTATTGATAGTCTCATTAGAACATTGGGAGTATAGTTGTGCTTCCTAATCTTTTCTTGTGCCACTAGGGAATAGGCAGTATTTCCAAACCTCAATACAAAATATTTTTGTAATTTTTTTTGTTAGTGATTTACATTACAAATGAAATTCATGTAATATTACTTCTTTTAAGTAATGAGGTGGAAATTTTTCCCATTAAATTACAGCAAATGTTGACAATTTTATTTTGAATAAAGGCATCTTATTTCATTATCAGAAAAACAGTTTTTTGTGTAATAAATGTACTGAAAAAGTTGTATTTCCTATTTGTGCATGAGACTATTTTTTTAACATTATGTCAACTCCTCTGCATTTCTTGAATTATTATTTTTTAGTTTCTCTTCATTTTGTTATAATAATCTTTATGTATAAGTAATGTCACTTTTTAAAATATATATGTATATGTGGATTTCTTTAGAATGCCTCAGTTTGCTACTCGTGCCACTCTGCTTAGTACAGAGTGCTTAAAAGGCCGCGGACTCTACGGAGAGGCTGCACAACAATTCATTCGGATGACAAGTGAAGATAGTGATTTGCGCAGTGCACTTTTATTGGAGCAAGCAGCCTATTGCTTTTTAAAAGCTGCACGACCCTGTATGGCACGTAAATACGCTTTCCATGCTGTGTTGGCTGGTCATAGGTTTTCAAAAGCTGGCCAACGAAGACATGCTCTACGTTGCTATCGGCAGGCATATCAGGTTGGTATAAGGGATCCGAGGCATTAATTTAAGGCATAATTGTCCCATAGTGTAGAACATGTATTACTTGTTGTTTAAATATTGGGTTCCAGTATGTCCATTCATAATTGTATTGTTTGTAAAATTTTTAAATTCCTGTTCGTTATAAAAGAAAATATTGAAATGTTAATTTTGGTATTACGTATAGAAAATAATATATTTTGCTTCTGTTTAGGTCTATGAGAACAAATCCTGGAGTTTGGCTGAAGATCACATTCATTTCACTATTGGTCGCCAGGCAGCAAATTTGAAATTGATGGCAGAGTCTGTGAAGGCTTTTGCCCGATTACTTAGCCCTCTTAGTCGACAAACTGCTGCACAACAGGCAGCCTTTTTGCGCGAGTATGTCTCTATTCAGCAGGTATGTATCTATTTGATAATCTTGAATTGCCTCTTATTTCTGCTATATGGAATCCATTGAGAACACACATACTACCTATGACCATTTTTAATTTTTTTAGTAGTATGTTTAGCAGTCCCCTTTTCAAATTAATATTTCACACTAACTTAAAAAATGCATAAAGAAAATCTGTAAGAAGAAACCACTAAGAAGCATTTCAATAGTGACAGTGAAAACTGAAACTTACATTTTTTCATTGAATATTTCACCAGGTCATTACCAAATGAAATAATTTTGGTTTCCAAATGATCTTAACCCAGATAAGGCTGCAATATTTTTAATTTATTATATTGTTATATATAAGCCAAATATTGATATTGTAGCATCTTCTAAAGCTTTTCAGGACAAAACGTTTGTTACTCTTTTTTTTTCTTTCGGAGAATGGACCATTCTTCCAAAAGGGTGTCAGCCTATTCCTATATTTACAGACATTATATCACACTTGGTCACTGAGGCAGTGGCATTACTGCTTCTTTCCTTTAAAATAACTTTTAGTAAATTTGCCATAAATTGGTCTTCCATGTCATGTTGAGTACCTTCCTTAGAAAGAGTTGGCAGTCTTTTGTGGGATGAAAATCACGGACTCAACAATTGCCTCCACAATTATACACCAAAAACTGAAGTGTACAACTGCACTCTGTCTTTTATGTCTATGTCTGCCACTGTGGATTGTTTTCTGACATTTTTGAGTAAACGACTTCTTACTGATTAATGCAGTAATTTATTCCTTATCAATGTTCAATACCGTCCAAAATATTGTGTACAGAGTACATTCTGATCTTTTCTATTAATTCCTTCCTTTTGGATATTAAAATTGGGTTCCTTTTTTTGCACTTTTCAGTTGTTGAGAAATGCTGTGAATAAATGAAATACCATATTATTCCTTTGAGATGATGTGATCATTCACAAAACAAACAAATTATTTTGTCTACTTGCCAATTAAGATATTGTATAATTTTAATAGAATTTGAGAAATGTTTGAATTCATGAAACATTTCCTTCTTGCCAATTTTGTCCTTAAAAATCCATAGCTTTGATCAGGTTTGAACCCCCAAACTTGGGTATAACATCCCAATATTTCAACAGTTATGCCACCAAAGCCTCAGTTACATCATTGAAACGTCAGATATATCACCAAAACATATTGGGATGATACTGATTCAGCACAATGAATTTTATTGCCAATTTTCTTTTAAACCTTTCCTTGCATTTTTCTTCAAGGAGTTGTAAGTCTTTTCCTTGACTCCTCTCATACTATGACAATGCTTTTGACAGAATTCTGTGGTTTCCAAAACTACCACAAACCATCAAATTTGCACTTCAGCAGTCCATAATGAATAGATCATCTTGCTGACTAGTTCAAATTTGGATATGATATCAAATTCATAATGATGTGGTTTTACAGCAACAAGTGTCCGAAGAGCCATTGGCGGATAGTTCAGTACCGGAGCTGCCATTGCCCATTGTAGAACAAAACAGTGTACGGGTGCTGGTTGGCCCTTTACCATGTAGCACCAGTGTTACTCCTGTTGTGGGCAGCAACCCACCCACTGTTCCTGCTTCAGGAGTGACATTTGAAGACGATGACCCTGACACTGCCAAGTAGGTTGTTAATGTTTTGTAAATAGTATGTTCAGCACCACCTTCGTTTCAATCTGTTTCTAATTTAACAGTAATCCTTTCTTGCAATGCCTGAACTACTTCATTTAGGAATTGCAACTCTCTCTCAGAACATGAAACAAATGTTGCTCTTTATCAATTCCTTTTCCTCCTTACATTTTTTTCACTTTTCCTCTGTATTTAACTATCTTTTCTTTAATTGTGAAATTTTGATCTAATAATTATTGAATTTGGTCAATTCTATAACATCTGTAAATGGCATTATTGGAGTGAAAGAAAATACTGTTTTCTGAGAAAATAAAATAGTTTTCATTTTTCAAACACTGACTTCTCAGCGAGAAAGATTTTATGACAAGAAAGTGGTATGGAGCTGAACTTGCCATTTCTAAATTTGTGTGGTATTTTTTCTTGAAAAAATAATTAATTTTTTTATATTACTAGGCCACGTTTCACGACTTTGATATACGGGTACCTCATTTATTATAATTTGTAAAAATGTATATATATCTTATAAAAGCCTAAAAGGTCTATTTGGTGCAATTGAAACAACAGAGAATTAACTTGGAAAGTATTATTTAGCAAAAAATTAGGCTGATACTCATTTAAATAAAAATCCTGTATTGTCCTTACTGAGCTCAATATCAAATCAGCCAAGAGATAGTAGTCTATTATGCTTTGAAAAACTGCACCAGTTACAAGTGTTGAAATAGGAAAATCATTTTCTGTTAAAAAAATGATAGAATGCAAAAGTGAAAACTGATTTGGAAAGTCAGTAAAATAGTTCCATTTCTAAGATCCTCAGCTGTCATGAATATCCGTCTATAGATCAATAGCTGGCTTGCGATCTCACAAGATATTTGGAATAATAATTTCCCAAGTATAGTAGTTTTCCAGTAATGATTTCCCAAAATTACTGCTAATTACCCCTCACTAATTCTGCACAATGTTACATCTAAAAAAAAAAATAATAATAAAAAAAAAAAAAACAGAATGGATTTATGAAGATGAGACCAAAACATACCAATTTGTGCTTCAAAAATTATCATACTGAACAGCTGGATCTGGGTAAATGTGTGTACATCATTTACTACGCTGACTTCTCGAAGACCCTCAGTTAGATAGATTAGAACATCTTAATGATGAACTTACATAGTTTTAGAGTACATGGCTCTTTATTACACTTCTTCATGATTATATTAAAAACCATCTAAATTATGCAAACCTGTCATAAGTTGGAAATAGAACTTCTGAGCCAGAAACTCCAAGAACCAAGTTAAGCAAGTTTGAGAGTCTATGGCTCATGGATGGGTGACTGTTTGGAACCATAGGTACTAATGACTCGGAGGCTCTGGCTGAAGGAATGAAAAGCAAAATAAATTCACAAATGACACTGAAAACTGGAAACATTGATCCCAAACCCTGTTCACTGTATCTGAAATAAATAAAGACACATTGTAGAAGCATTTGAGTTCTTCCTGCCTCCGTACTGCTTTCATTCTCTCAGAAATCACTGTTCTTCTTTTATTGGTGTGGATTAAGTTATTCTGGTCTTTTTTTTCTGTCTGACCAATGGTCTGTGAATTTTGAATTTGTCTAAAATATTTTCTCTGTTGGTCTCCTAGTGTTAAACCAGCTTCTTTCAGGTCTTTAATTGGAACAGTCCACTTAATTACTCCATGCTACTGCAATTTAGCAAAGCTGTAGCGTGCTTTAGCAATCCTCTCTATTGTGATTTTTGTAGAATTCTATAACTAGTTTTCTTAATTTGGTTGGTACCATTCTTTTAGTGTGACCATAAAATTTTAGCCTGCATTGATGTAGTCTATATATCAGAATTTCTATTTCATTATAAAACATTTGGAGCGGTATATGAGAAAACATTGTTTAAAAATATTAAAAATTGTCTATATTTCATGCAAAATTACATGAAAACTAACATTTTCGAAAAATTGTACATGGATTTATTTTATGATCTTCCTTTAAAGAACAGATTTCATTCAGAAAATAATCTCGATCTTGAATATTGGAGTAGTAGGAAGATTCTGAAAAAAGTTTTCAATTTTTGAAAAATAAGGGATTTCATTGAATATGAGACCTGCATCATTCTCATAAATGTTCTTTATGCTATTTCTGGACAAATGTTAATAAAAAAAATTGGAGCCATTTTTGAGAAAATTTTGAAAATGTTAGTGGGGCTTCATGTAAATTACTCCCAAAAATCAAATTACCTATTTTGAAGGGCCTCAGGTTGTTTTTAATCTTTTGGAGAAAATCAGCTGAATGGTTTAGGTGCTAGTCTTGACCACTGACTGACAGACGCACCTTTTGTCAATTCCCGTTTTCTGTATGAAGGTCCACAAAACAGGGGTTGTGACTGCACAACATGATAGAGTAAGTAATTTACTATATATAGGAACAAGAGTTATCCCTTTTCTCGTTACCAGAGCCTGGCAATAAGAATTTTTGTGTTGAAAATTTGCTGTTTTCCGATGCACAATTACAATACTTTCTATTCTTTCGCAGTAAGTCTGTGAAAGTAAAATTAACTGGGAGCGATATAGCAAACCATCTACAAGAGGTCAATGCATGAAAAAGGTGGGAACCCCTACGCTAGTGTATGAAAATAAAATTCCTACATGATCAGTTTGGAATTTACCAATATTTGTGATGGGTGATTGCTTTTTAAGAAAATGTTTATTTTTGGGCATCTTTTTGAAATGGATTAACATAATTTTAATATGGAAACTTTCACAAAGGTCTACCAGTCATTTCCCGTTTTGATATGTCCACTTATGTGCAGATTCACCAATTATTTTTCTGAATTTTCTTTCTTTCCCTATTGCACATTAATGTCTGTATACTTTTATGTGCGCATTTGAAGGAAATTATCTTTAATCAGTTATTTTCTGGCTTCTTGTTGAACGTGGAACCAAGAACTTCTTTTGATATTGAAAAAGTAACTTCCAGATATGGTGGGTTTTTAAAGATTATTTTCTTTGCATTACATTTGAAGGACCTGTAATTTCCCAAGTTAATGGTGTTTCCAGCTAACAATCTCGTTTATTGCATGGCTAGAATTTGAATGCTCTGTTCTTTTAGTATGATACTAATTTATGGAGATTTTCTATTGCCTAAAGTTAATTAATTTTTATTATTCCAAAAAAGTTTTGATTTTGATCTTGCGTTGGCCAGAGTACTCCAACTTCTAATTTTGCGTGTTACACCTTGACCTTATTTCCTCAGAATCTTTTTGATGTCTAATATAGGATTGGTTACCTCCTGGGTAATTACGTAATTACCAAAACCCTTCCATCATTGTCCTTTGAATTTGGAATTGCGTTTTAGAAACTCCGTGATTAAGACTGAACAGGTTTGTTCCAGAATTTAAATTTCAACTATAATAATATGTTCGTAATTATATAATTGCATAGATTATATCATGCATATACACATGCATGAATATATCCATTAGTATTACTAAAAATATACATATAGATAAAGATCTGTAAAAGATAATTTAATGTTTGGTTTCCTGTGAAAAAAATTAACAAGTGGTTCCATTATAAATTTCTTTTTCAAATATATGCTTCAGTTTTAATGTTAGCAAGTCAGCATGAACATTTCTCTGGGGTTTCGTATTTCCATTGCACCAACAATTGCAACAACAGTAGTACACTTTACAATATTATTACAGTACTTGTCCAACCATCAGTTTTGAAAGGATGAGGAACATACCAAAGATCCGTGTAATTTTGAGTGTTCGAAAACCTGAGAGTCCTCTGCAATAATGAATTTCGTCTTGAATTGATGTTTGTTTTAGTTCAACATTGTAAATTCATGAAATATTTATTAATAAAAAATGTGGAAAGGAAATAAAATGTGTAAAAATGACAAAAATTATGAAAGGTAATAAAAAATAACATTGAAAAATGACAAAAAGTGACCAATAACATTACATTTCTATCACCTATATGTCATGATAAACATTCATTTACAAGTTTGCTTCATTTAGAATGCACCAATGAAAAGATGACATGCCTTCAGAATCCAAGCTCTGATAATAATGAATTTTGGTGTGGTTTGTGCAGAATTCAAATATATTAAAACAAAAATTGAGATTAGAATTGTAACACTGCAAGAATAGACTACTTGTACATTTCTAGTGATTTTTTCCCCTTGCTTGCTAAATATGCTTAAGTGTTGGAATGATTGAAGATAACTTGAAGGCCATTGTTTGTTGTTGAAATTATAACTAAGCTATTAGTGGCAGGAAGATATTTCAGTTAATATGCATTTTTCTTGTGTGTGCTGGAAATTCCATTTCTTTTGAATTATGTGTATTTTGCAGTGTTATGAATTGAGAACTTACCTGCAAGACCTGTTTTTTGCATTTGTGTTGAAGTGCTGTTTTGTCCAATCTGCATAGTCCTATTCCTCTCCTGATCCAGATCATCTGTGTATGGGTTTCAAGATAAACAAACTACTGAGGTAATTCTAATGTAAGAAATAAAACTGGCCAGGAATGTTTAGTTTTATCATTCAACATTTTATTTTTAAACATTAGCAGATCATTTTAGAGGCCATGTTAATGTGTTAATTATTTTATGTTACTAGCTTCATATTGTTTTCATTTTAAATTGATCCTTGTATTTGGTTGACTTGTCTGACAGAGTTTTGAAATGTTTGTTCACGATACATTTCTTTCTGGAAACTAGTCTAATATGGATCTGCAGAGTATTTCCTTTTACTTTCTGGTCTTCATTTGCCCTTTCTTTCTTTCTTTCTTTCTTTCTTTCTTTCTTTCTTTCTTTCTTTCTTTCTTTCTTTCTTTCTGTCTGTCTACCTTCCCACCCAACCACCCGCCCATCCACCACATATTTCCATATTTTTCACATTCTGTTAACAGGCATTGTAGTAAGATTTTATATAAGATGTGGACTTGTACATTTGCAAATGGTTGTGACATTTGCAAATGACATGTAAACTTTTCTGATTGATTGCTTGTAAACATATTGGGCTGATAAATATTATTCAAACCTGATACAGTCTAAAAAATGTTAGTCTGCTTCATTTAAGGGTTGTAAATTACATTATTATGAACATAACATGTAATACTTTCAAATTACAATTGTAATGTTCTGCTTGGAGTAAGGAATTAAGTTATGAATCTAGCACTATTGGATGACATATAATGAATGTTGTATTGTTGATTTGTTACAGCTAATGTCACTGTAACGTATTACACAAATTTTTTCACATTAACCCAAATGGGTGTAATGGTTGTAAATAGCTCAAAGTAGGAACAGCTTCAAAGCATACTTCAAACTTTAGCCAGATGACGTGCATATTAGCCAACACAACATGGCTAGAATAGTTGAAGTGTGTATGGTGACGAAGAGTGTGCATGTGATACATATATCAGACTGCTGGTAGGAAATTTCTAAGGCAAGAGTGAGTTAAGGTGTGTAATATCAAGTTCTTCTGTGGCAATGGTAAATATCTGTTTACACAATGTCATCTAACATATCCTAACGTACTCTATCTTCACTATATACCTCAGTTGACACTTTGGTGTACATTTCCAAGTTCATGATGAGGTTGTGGCCACCAAACTTGATTTTCTTAGTTCTTAGAACAAACATGAGTTTGTGCAAAGAATAATTTCTGATAAACTTGTATACCAAAATACTTCTCATAAGCACATGAGATATTTCACACTAGAACAATGTCTTAAGCCTGTAGCTAATGACAATATAAAACAGATGAAGCCACAAAGTTCAGTTTATTGTCATTTATTCAGCTTTCTCGAGAAGTCTGAGTAATATGCAAATTAACCAGTTACTTGTTACATTAGTTACTCCTCCATTATTACATAATTAATATGTAATTTTCATAGTTTCTGTTATTTAACTTCAGGGAGGGGGGCTCAAAATAATGCGTTCATCTGCAAGGAAGTGTTTGTTGATGTTTCTATACTGGTGGGTAGCGAGATAAAAATAGCTTAATTTGGCAATTGTACTTTTTCTAAAATGGCCTCTAAATTTGACTGGACAAATTTAGTAATATTTCAAAATTTTGCATGTTCATTAGGTATATCTAATTAATACAATTTTATCAAACAACAAAACTATAAGTAAATGGCATAATTTAGTTAATAACAATAAAGAATAGAAAACTCATTTAATATCAATATTATAAAACTTATATAAAATAACTATTAAAACTAAAACAGCACATACTTTCTTTCATTTTCTGTAACGGCTCCACAAGATTATATGATTACATGAACCTTTCCAACCAGAAATAAAATTGTCCATGCCAAAACTAGAACATAGGTCCATCACCGTGCATTTTACATGTGAGTTAACTCACCATGCGCTTTACCACTACACCAGTAGTCCCCCTGCCATATTCACCTGAGACGATACTTAAAAATGTAATTGTTTCACCCATTATTTCTAACACGCAATTTTTGAAAATTTAGGAATGTCAATGGAAATGCACATTTCTTGCTCTATTGGTGCAATAGGTTTAAAGTAAAAATTTGGAATGGTTTTTGTGATTAATTTTTCCTGTGGAGAAAAAAAAACAAAAAAAACTTGACAATTAAATTTGTTCAAAGAATTGGTCGCTCCGACCGGGATTTGTACCCTGGTCTCCTGGTTTACACCCAGATGCTGCAACCACTACGATTCCTAGGTTCGACCACCTAGTCCACTAGCCCACCTAGACCACTTTGTCAAAACTGCCAACAAAATATCGAAGGCTCGAAAATCATGCATTTTCGGATTCAGCACGATATGAAAACAAGAAAAAAAGTATTTGGACTTTTTTTGGAATGATATTTTTTATCTTCTAATAATTCAGTTTTTTACCCAACAAAAAATTTTCAAGGTCACTGCAAGGTCACTTTCAATTATGCAAGGTAATAGAGGGCATAAATTGGTATAAATCTTTAAAATTCTAATGTCAAAATATGTCATCGTCTTTTGTCAGTTTTCAGAAACCAAAATACTCATAGATGCTTGTACTATATGCCTACAAAATTTCATTCATGGTTATTGAAAGGATTCAGAACTACGAAATATATATATATATATATATATTGTGGTTTGTGATAACTATTATTATGTACACATATTGCAGTTAGCAAATTTGCACACTGGTGTAGCCTCAACAAGGTGTAAGGTTAACTGGTATATATACCTCACGCATTTACATATATTTTGTGTCTGAATTTTACAATCTGAATAATCATACATACTTATGTACCAACACATGTGTACATACTGTTTTTTTGTTTTTGTTTTTTCTTTCTTTTTTGGTTCTTTCTTTTTTTCCATGGAACTTGCTAGTAATTGTCTTTAAGGGTGTGTGTATGGTTTATGTGGAAATATCTTTACCTATCTTATCTTACCTTTTTGGTTCCCCTTTATTTCTCTGTCTGATTTTATGTCTTACTGTTGTTTTATTTTACTTAGTAATGTAAAGGCAATTTTTCCCATCCTCCTCTTTTATCATATCTACTCCAGTGGAAATATTTTTCCCAACTGTAGATCAATTATTGTGATCCTTTAGTTCACAACCTTCCAGTTTTTTTAACCTGATGATTGCTTTAGCAAAATCACTACTTTGTCCTTAACACTGAGACATTTATTAATTCATTAAAAGTTAAGGAGGAACCTCTTTATTTTACAGCAATGATCCACTTCCCTTTCTGTTTTGTCTCTCTCACTCTCACATTCAGCACCTCTGCAACTTGTAGTTATCCATTTTCTCTCTATATAATCTTTCACTCTCTCTCCAGAGTGTAATATCCTGGTAACAATTTTCATCTGTTTTGCAAGTTCGACTTTGCATTAACGTCCCAGTACTACATTGTTGATTTATATGGATGTATTTTACTTCATTCACACAGAAAATCTGCTCTTCTTTAAGCATTCTCTGTGAGGTTTCTGCTCCATGGTTTGTTTGTTTTTTTAAATTGATTTGCTTTTGTTGTGTCCATGACCAATGTTATTAGGCAGTCTCTGATAGTGGTGTGTTCTCTTCAGCCATTGTCCAAAGGACCATCCATAAATTATGTAATGCAGGTTTGGAGTATTTTCCATACCTCCTCTCTCTCCTGTAATACACCAGTAATTCATGCATAAACCCCCATTAATAATTACCTAATGCTTGCGTGTTAGGTAACTATTAAGAAATGTACCAACCCTCCCCCAATGATCAGAAGTAAAAATAAATTGTATTACAGTAAAAACAATTTCTATTAATTTTGTTTGTTTTATATGTTAAAATTCATGATAATGAAAAAGATAATTAGTATAAACGCTTAGAAATGAACATTTCGGACAACAAGCCATGCACATGCCGTCCTGAATGAAGCATGGGCAAGAGTCTACTGGGTCCATTTAAAAGGATTCTAAAGTATACTACAGGTCAGTTTTGAAACTGTTAGATTATGAATTAATCTAGCTGATTCAAAAAAATTCCAGTTATTAAAACAATTTATACATACTAACTTTTTTAATTTTTTTTGTTTAAAAAATAATTTGTTAATACTTTAATGGAAGGCTAAAAAAATTATTTCAAGAAATGTTGAAAATTTAAAATTAAAAAAAAGAATTACATATTATGAAACCACCATCCCCACCCTACCACCCCGATGTAACGCTGTCTGGAACCCCCTCTTTAGTATTATGTAATTTGACTCCTAATAGTAATCCTTTGGTCATGAAGGCCCAATGGCAAGTCACATTCTTTTAAAAATCAGACACAGCAACATTTACGCCTGCTGGAGGAGTTTTCTTTACATTCAGTTCTTTCAGAATCTCCCTGTCCCAATACAAATAAAAATTGCTTGTTTTTCAAATATGTGTTAAGATATTTTTCTTAACAATGCCAATAGGGTTGAAAATGGGCATCAAGAAAATAATCTCTGGTGTGGAGCTTTAAAGATTATTCATCAGATATTGTCATTTAATTTGTCTCGAGATACACACAAGGCATGGGCTGATAAAGTTATAAGGACCCAGTTTATCATTTAAAATAATTTATTTATGTCAACTTTACAAATGTCAAAAATTGTATATTTTGAAATTAAAGACATATTTAAAATTATTTTAGGGTAAATGTGATTTGTTGTATTGGCTTATCATGATAGATTGTATGAATGTGTTTAAGGATTAACATAGATTGTCACTTGTGCAGATGGCCTAAATTAGAAGAAATGCTCATTACTGCAGCACAGAAGCAGCTTCCAATGATCTTCAAGCCCACCATCCAGATGTTCTCCAATTACACAGACAATAGCAGAAATCCTGTCAGTATTGTAGGGGGTACGTATTTTCAATAGTGAAAGAGTATATATCAACAGTGATGTGCTAGCAGTTCATTAGCACACACAATTCAATGTTATTCCGAGCTTCATAATGAAATAAATGGTACATTCATCATCTAGTTGGTGAGATCATTATAACAAACACAAAATAAAATAGAACATTATCTTGGAATATTTGTCAATGAAAGTTAAAAGAAAATTAATTTGATATGTCATATTCAGACCTAAATCACTTTTACTTTATTTGTTAAACATTTGTTTCTTAAATACTTTCTTATGAAACTATTATCATTAAAAACAATTGTTTCCCACATTCCTGTTAATACAAGAGGAAGTGTGATGCAAAGATTTAGAGGTTAGTGGTTTGACATTACACTGGCAACCTCCAGCTCTTTACATAGGGTGAAGTGAGGATGAATTAATTAGTTTGTTCCTTTATAGAGGGGCAACAGAATATCAACAAAAAAAATTTTGGCTTTTGTTCTTTGGATTTAAAACAAAGACTTATTACAATTCAGGAGTTATTCTCTTACTATTGATTTTCTATGTTTGATTATGTATTTATGTTACAGCTGAAGTTTGTATCTGGCTAATTCGTAAATTTTCTGGTTTATGTTCACATTATCCAACATTGGTGAATTAAGTCCAAAGTAGGCAGGGCACTAAATTATACTTAGAACTTTAGCCAGATGGCATTAGCCAATATGATGTGGCAGTGGTAGGTGAAATGCATAATAGTGACAAGGCATGGTAGAGGTTATGTATCAGCAATAAGACTATTTTCTGTACTCTTCTTACTTTCTATACCTTCAAAGTCAACCTTGTAAAAGCCTTCACATCTCATTTAGGTCAACATATCTGAAGGCTGGGAGAGATTGTTCTCTATACTGATGTCAGCAACATTACATTAAATCTTCCCATATGCACACAAGACACAGACACCGGTTTCAACTCAAAACAAATTTAGTGTTTTACATTATTAAACTGTATTCCTTTTCCTTCTTGATCCCTACAACACTTCTCTATCATCAACCAATTCAGCCTCAAACCAACACAAACAGGCTATGCACATCGAATCAGAAAATGTAAAGCTGAGCACCCTAGCTCGCTTGAAGACACAGACACTCCTACAGAACCTAAAAAACACTCATTTTAGCAGGCAGCCATGGCTGCCATCTTTCTTTCAGTTGGAAGTTACCCTCTAGCTACTCAGTTTCATCTAGTTTTAAATCTAACAGGAAGTTTGTGGACATGAACAGTATTCAGCACCCATTCGAAGACACAGACCAATGTGAACACAATCATTATCATAGGATGGCAGAATGACATTAATTATGGCAGTTGCTTTACATCTGAACAAGATGTCAACAAATTACATGGGCTACTCAAACACGAACATTGTGGTCTCCACTCTAACCTTCTGGTACAACAGACCAACACTATGCAGCGAGATTGAGCACACAAAACAATAATTAAAACGCATCTGAGAAAAACAAATGTCATACTTTTTTTAATTAATTTCCTCTCAGCAAATCATTTGGTTGACATAGTCTCCAACCTTTCTGGGAAACACACACTGTAGTGAGTCAGCGTGACACACTCACACTTGTCTGCTGCCAAAAACCCATCCCATTCCGTTCACCTTCCTCTCTCCACCACCCACCCAGATTTTGAACTGTTATCTCTTCCTCTACTCCTATTTCTCCCAATCCTGATACAAATTCCTCACTATCTGTCTCTGGTGTGTCATATTACGACCTTTGACCACACACTCAGGGTAACAATGGAATAAATTTATAGCAACTGGAGTCAGCAGAAAAGCATCTCTGTAGGTACCTGCAAACTACTCTCACACTGCACCATAATGCTCAATCTCTTTCAAATAAAATGGATTTTATCAAGGCTGCTCTAGAGAGTGATTTAAAGCAAATAGATAGTCTTTGCTTTACAGAACATTGCTTACCTCATAAATGAACTTAGCAGTTTCCAAAATTTCAAAGTTTTATCTTGCAGTCTCTGATTGTAGAGGAAGAGAATCAAATAAGGGTCCTGCATATGAAAGTTCTTGTATTTACATTAGAAACTATATTGATTTTAACTCCTTGATGGAATGAATTGGGTATTCTCCTAAGAATTCTACCATTAACTTGGCTCTTGATTTACGAATCAGTCTTTTTTGTCAAAAACTCAAGGCTGAGAAAATGTCAGAGAATACAGATTTCTATAACTGTAACACTGATATAGTAATCATATTCATGAGGTATTAGTATCAAGAGCTCACTACAAAAAATTCACATACAATGCATGCACATTATTTTATAACACATTGCCAGATGACAGTAAACAATTAAAATTGATACTTAGGTTTAATCTTTTCTGCTGCATTGCTGTTTCTGTACAATTACCAACTATACCCATCAAGAAAAAGGATAGTAATATTTCTTCATTCATTTTATCCCATTGTATCTCACACACTGTTTTCAGTTGTTTTTGACATTAAATAAATAAGTAAATTATTAATTTATTTATTATTAATTAATTAATTCAGATTGATGGTTGTCTTTTTTGTATGAACATATCCAATCCCCCTATCGCCAAAGTATATCTTTACAATAGATAATTCAGAAGCCAGTTTCTCCTAAATTAAGAAAAATTATTTTTGGTATCTGCTACTAAGAGAGAAATGTTTATTAAAACAAGGATTAAAATCTGGTTTTCCCTTGGGTTGCAGAGCCAGTGAGTGTACAGGTGAAGCTGGTGAATCCATTGCAGGTGTCTCTGCCACTTCATGACCTGCAGCTGCTGTGGTCCATGCGTCCCACAGCATTGATTTCAGCAGATGGATCTGCAGCTGCTCCTGTCACACCTTCCTCACAGGGCACTGTTGAAGCTCAAGTACTGCCTTCTTTACTGCTACCAGCTGACTCCTGCCAACCTGTAAGTCCAGGCACTGATTCATTCATATCATTATGATTTGGAAAGTAAGAAATTTAAATAAACCATCTACACGGGAATGTTTAAGATGGTATCTCTTAAGTGTAAATAAAAGTATTTATTTACACAGTGAAACTTGTCTTCAGTGGTCACTAGTGGTTCTGATGAAATTTCTTAACGTAGGTGATGAATGTTGATGAATATTCTGAGAATGTGGTGGAAACTAGGTCTCGGATACATTTTTACGTCTGCAAAGAAGTAAAATATGCTTTTCTTTTTTTTCCCCCTCAACTACATACACTTTAAACAATAAAATGCCTCAAGCTTTTCTTAATTGCACTCACCACTCGAACACCAACCAAAAAGTAATTCCTAAATAATTTTTTATGCATTACACTTAATTATTTGTCTTTTGACTTCCTACCATAATCTGCACATTATCAGAGATAGATATCAGAGAAGAATTATATTTGCAGGATACAGATTACTTCTCTTCTTGTTTTTCACTTTCTACTGGCATACTCAAATTTCTCTACAGGTGGGCTCAAATTTCCATCTCTTACTTTTTGCCATTCCCATTTTTGTACCCTTTGTTTGTAAATATTTTGTCTCATTTTTCTGTGAATATTCCACCAAATAGATTTGATATCTGTTCCAGGGGAATAAATTAAAACCTAAGAAGACTGAATATAATCAGAAAGTCTTGCCTGTCTGTGTGTGTGTGTGTTTTTTTTTGTTTTTTTTGGCTCTGCCTTTGATTTTTTTTTTTTTGTGATGCAACCTCAAGTTTTAAGAGAAAAAATCCTTTACTTGTTACTTTACCTTTTTCAGTGCCTTCCATTGTTAAAAAGTATGTATCGGTGTGTGTTCTATGAAAGTGTTTTCCTAATATGTAGTCTTTAATGAAAACCACAATGTTAATTTTATAGAAACGCACATGGAAAATCTCTAACTCACAAAATTCAAAAATAAAAAAGCATGAGACAAGTAGAAGCAGTGATTAATATCAAATGAAACACAGTTGGCAGAAAAGTGAATAGGGTTGTCACGCTGAGAAGTTGACATTTTGTGGAAAATAATACAAAGACACACTATTTCATCATGCGCAGTAACTTCATACCAGCCAAATCGAGGCAGAAGCTTATTCAATGTTTTTTCTGTCTGTGCAGGTGGTATTATCACTAACACCCCGTAGCTCTGGAGAGTTGCATATCTTAGGCATCACATACTCGCTATCTGTACCAGCAACAGATGCTAGTGGTCCAGGTGCTAGTGTTTGTGGCAGGCAACTGTTTCATGTGCACTCCCGGCCTCGACCTCAGAAAGGGCGCAAGGAACCTCTGCCTGATAAGCGGCTCCAAGTGCAAGTTGTTCCCACTGCACCATGTCTGCAGGTAACTTGTACAATTCATTAATTCACTTGAATATTGAGTGTATGATTATTCCCAAACCAAGCAGAGAGATTGTCTGGCATGTAGAAGCCAGTTCTTCACTCACTTTGTCAATATTTTCAACAAGGCCACATTTTGTATGTAGATTTTAAAAGTAGTTATGGTTTCATAATTTTTATTCTTTAAATTTCACTTTCATCAAAGATTAATTTTATGAAGTACTTACATGTTATATATGTACAATATACTTATGAATGAGCAATTCTTTTTACTTTCCTTGCACTTACTTCGTAAGAAGAGAAAGTTATGTAATTCTGTGTGCTGGCAACAGCTCATTTTGGACAGAAAATCTCTTATTGCCCGGCTCTAGTAATGAAGAAGTGGATAAATGCTGTTTCTGTATATAGTGTATTTACTTCCTCTAATGTGTAGTGCACCCAAAATCCACGTTTGGGGATCCTTGATACTGAAAAATCAATTGACGGCAATTGTGGTCATCACTAGTGTCTAAACCAGTCAGCCATTTTCTCCTAAATTGATATTCCTTGATCGATTTAAATGAACATGTGGACCTCTGAGTTTGAAAGGGATATTTTGATTTTTGGGGGTACTTTTCGTGATGCTTCAACAACAATTTCAAAATTTTCTTAAAAATGGCTCCAAATTTTTTTAATAAATTTTGTCCCAAGGCAGTGTAAAAGATGCTTAAGAGAAGATGCACAGGTCTCCTTTTAGTTGAAATCCCTGGGGTTTTGAAAATTGCAAAAGTTCCTATTTTTTTCAGTGTCATCCTACAACTACAAATTTTCTCCATATTTCTATCAGTGGACAGTAAAAAATATGGTGTTAGTCTCATTTCCTGGAAATTCTGTATTTTCAAAAATTGCTTAACTTTAACATTCAAAAATTACAAAATTGCAGATCGAGAATTCTGCCTTAAACAAAATCTGTTCTAAAATATCAGCTCTTAAAAAAAAGGTTATGTACAATTTTGTGAGAAAACATGTAGTTTTCCTCTAATATCTGGTTGAAATTAAAACAAATTATAAAAAGAACATTTTCTTAAAAAACGCTCCAAATTTTTTCCGTGTTTAAAGGAACACTTAAAGAATGGTAGAAGTCTTGTTGACGTCTCTAAATTTTCGAAAATTTGTGGAAATATTGGTTGGAGGAAATTAATTTTTTAAAAGGGTATGTTAGACCTTTGTGAAGAGGTAAGGCACACATTGAGCTACCTCAAAAAACTTCAGTTCCAAGTTTTGTGTAAAGAAAAAATTTGGTAGTTAAAAACTCTTTTGCTGATTTGTATAGTAGTATATGATTGCAGAGCTGGTACAAATAATGTGAGAAAGTGTGTGATGTAGCTTCACTAGAAGGTAATAGTTACATAATATTATAAACTTTGCATCTTTCATCCAACTAATACTGTTTATAAGATTTAATATGCCAAATTCTCCATTTTGCAGTTCTGTCTGAATTATTGCATCTTTGGGTTTCATTTATTTTATGTCAGCATTATTGTTTAAAAGATTTTACCTTGATTCATGTGGGGAAAATTCCCCATTCACCATCTTACCTGGCTTGACCCTTGAACTATATTCTACAGAAGGGGGTGTGCTGGCAAGACCCCTAACTAGAACGGAAGTAGCCTCGGATGCAAAATAGGGAGAGGGTACTGCATTGCATCTCTGTAGTTTTGAATAAAAAATTTATCCCCCCTGTGTTCTTGCTCTGGATGAAAGCAAACCTAGTTATATCCCTGGGTTCTGATGTGGATTTTGCTGCAGTGAACAAACATGCTTATTAGGCTCTTTTTGAAACTCCAATGTGATTATATATCAGTTAATTTGTGTTTCTTCTTTGTAGGTGAATTTTGTTGGTCAGAGCAGTGACATGTTATGTGGAGAAGTACAGCAAGTGGTGATGGAATTCCGAAACATAGGAAGTGCTCCCTTGTCTACTTTGCATGTTGCTTCTTCTGCACCCGAGCTTTTTGTTTTTGAGGGCGAGCAAGTGGGCAGTGCTGTGAATGGCATTGTACACATTCCGTTGACAAAGCTTGCAGGCAAACAGCTTGGCGTGGGCCAAGTACACAAAACTACCTTTTGGGTGCGTGCACCAGACGTCCCAATGGAAGCCACATTAGACTTGCTATTCTACTATGAAAATGTAGTCAACAGTGCTGTTCCAAGGTGGGTTTATATATTTTATAATACAAAAATACTTTTCTTTCATATAAGTTTAATAAATTTTATACAGTATTTTCTGAATTAGTGCAGTCATAAAATGTGTCAAATACTTCAACATTGACAAGATTCAAAAATTCTTTCAGTAATCTATTCAGCTGTGAATTATCAATTGATCTTAATGCTTGTTTTTATTGTTGATGTTACAATGCAAAGTTAACTTCTTCCCATTTTTGATTATGTTCCAAAATTATTCCAATAAATACACTAGGTCCAACTCAACAAAAAGTGGGCGCAAGTTTTCTTTAACTTATTAAAAGAGTTTAAATGCAAAAATGTGGACAAAAAAGTCCAGAATTACCCTTTTGTCCTATTTTGCCCAGTTGGCATAGTATTAGTCACATGTACTACATAACAAATCATTCCGTGGCTTGGTGTAAGAAGGGACTATGTCAGTTTTTAATTATTTTCAGCTTATAAGACCAATATGTGCTTTAAAGCCCTTTCTTTCACTTTTAAAAAAAGCCGAAGTCAAATGTTGATCCTATCTTCTAATTTTGCAATGATTTACTTTGGCCTACAATTGTTTTATCATTTCAATGCTAAAACCACCCACTCTGTAAAACTTAGAATATTGTCTTTGTCCCTTCTTGCACCAAACCACAGAATTAATATAAGTAATACAAATTCTTGTGGGTAAAAATATAAATTATTGGGCAGTGTATTGCATTTAGAAATCTCTGCCAGTAAATTATGTAAACAAGGCACTTGTGTACATATAATTACTTTCCAAATAAGTAGACGTGAAGAAATCTAATTTTGAATATCCTTGTGTGGTTAATATCAGTAATTGTTCTATTTAAAGTTTGCTTTGTTTGTACTTTAAATTTTATTTCTTGTGTGATGTAAAATAACTTCCGAATTATATTGATAATACACAGGTACATAACATGTAGTATCAATATTGTATTACTATAGGTACCGGCTGGTCCGGCATCAGTGGATATTAAATGCCTCTGCTGGACTGCAGCTAACTGCATCTGCTCTGCCTTCCTGCAATAGCCACCAGGCTGTCACACACAGTAGTACCCGTTTGTTGAACTTGCCTTTACAAGCCAAGAATCTCAACCAGGTATTTTTTTTTTTTTAATCATTGTTCCAAATACACATATTTACATTTGAAAAGTTCAATCTCAGCATTTTTTGCCAACAAGTCAGGTAATGGCACTGAAGGCTGACAGGTCACCTTAAGCAGGCATGAAAGAATAATATTGTGTATGAAATAAGTATTCTAGTAGTTAGGGTGGTACAGCAAGAGGTGACAGGAACAGTCAAGACCTTAGCTTCAGGGGACAAGTGTAATTAATTACAATCAAGTGATTTAGCTTGTCTTGGGTGGACAAGTGATTTGGCATGTGTTCTTCAGCAAGATAATCAGTGGAAATTCTTACGAATTTCTTAAAAGATTTGTTTTTGTTCCTTAGATTATAATATGAAATGAGTTTGCTCGATGGTTTTGGGGGGTACCAGGATGTTAACAAAGAAAGAATTAGGAAGTGTTCTATGTGTTAATAACCTTACTTTACTTTAGATTATGAATATTAGAGGGGTTGGTAGGTTATTTCTCAAAAATTAAATAGCATTTAAGCAAGAAATTAGTGTCAACTTTAGATTTTGATTATAATTTTGAACCCTTCCTTTTTTATTGTGTTAACAAGCTTCAAGTGTCAAAAATAAGGGTCTTAGGTTTAATAGAGTGGTGTGAGGAAGTAATTTGACCGTGTCTCCACATTGGCCATTGCCACATTTTACATGGTTTCACCTCCTGTGAGGTGAACTTCCCCCATCTGCCTCACATGTACAAGGACCTGTCTGTGCAACACATGCTTCTAGATTGTGTAAAATTTAATGACAGCTGACATAGACACTTCCAGTGCTATATGGGCCGCCGCCACTACCATGACCACTACACTACCACTACCACTACCACCGCCACCACTACTACTACCACCACCGCCACCACTACTACGACCACAGCCGCCACCACCATCACCACAACTGCCACCACCACAACCACAGCCGCCACCATCATCACCATCATCACCACAACCACTACCATCACCAACATCGTCACCATGATCGAAATCACCTCCATCACAATTCACACTTCAGTAGTTCATAGGTCTCAACATGAACTCTCTAGTGTGATATCTAGTGTTTTATTGCATATTTTTAGTGTTGACATGTTTAAACATGCAAAAATGTTTGTTCCAAACAGGTTCAAGATACCATCATGACAGAAGTGTCACTTGTACAGATACTCCTGGCCAGCACTGAATGGCAACTTAGTCAACAGGCTGTTCTCCCAAAAGGTAAAGTCCAATGTCTTTTCAAATTTTGTGTTAAGTTGATATGGAAGACATGAGTAATTATTTCTACATTTTTTTAGTTTGTGTAAAATTAACAAAAATTGAATTACCTGCAAACGTTCCATTGTAAATGCACAATTTTTAGAAATGCTTTCTGAGTATTGTTATTGAAAAAATTGTATTTATATTTATTATTTATAAAATAAAATGAGGATCATTGTATTTAGCTTTTCAAACTCTTCATACAAAGCATTTGTAAGGATTGAAACGGTTTCAATTCAACTTGCTTCCCTTTACAGCATACCATGTGTCATGATAGAAAAATATGATTTAACAGGGTTTTACTAATTCTAAATTATATTACATACACACGTGAGAAAGATGGTGGGTGATTGGAAGGAGAGTGAATTCTTGTGCAAACAGGGATATTACAAATGAAAATTTGAAAAATATACTTAATTACTATTTTTAGTGGGGTGTAAATTGTAGGTGGTATGTTACTTATCATTAATTTTTATGTAAAGTAACCACCCTTATTTGTGTAAACGTCCACACACACAAAAAAACAGGCTGTAACTCTCTTTGTTCTTTAAAAATTACTCTCTGAAAATAGAAATTTCTTCATTCACTTTCAATAGTTTTGGTTGCAAATATTGCATAAATACAAACATGTTAGGTAGATAAATACCACTTTACATTGTAGGTCAGAGTTTTCTGAATCCAATGCAGTTGAGAATAAAAAGCTACACTGATATAGCTCTGAGTAATTTACAAAACCATAAATGTCCACAAATGCAAAAAATGGCATGCGGCTTAAAACAAAAATGTCTGCCATGGCATCATCTCTTCTCAAACACTCGCACATTTTCACTTATTGTAATGAAGCAACTACATGATCATTTGAATAATATAATTGTCAATAAATTTCATTTGGTTGTTTTAGGATTTGAAAGTATGGTTGATATCACAGGACTGATATAGTGAGTTAAAAATTTGTGGCTTGTTTTTGTTGCAGGTGTACAGTTGCAAGCTCAAGAAAAGATGTATTTTTTATTGCAAGCTAGCAGGCTTGAAGACAAAGGTAATTATGCTACTTATCGTTAAATTTTATGTAAAGTAACCACCCTTATTTGTGTAAACGTGCACACAAACAAAAAAGGAACCCAAATCAGAGGAGCCTGCAAATGTGTTTGTGTCTAGTGTATGGTCGAAATGCCCATCTGGGCGTAAAGGGTAACCTGCTGTCAGCTAAAACAATCCTAAAAAGGAAAGAAAAGAAAAGAAGTTTCTGGCAAGTCTTCAGAAATTATAAATTGTTCTTTTTTCTGGTATTACTCACTTTTTTATGAGTATATAATATTTTCTGTGACTAGAAAGTGGATGAGTGGATAGCAATTTGTTATTAGTAATTTCACTCATAATACATATATTCTATTTCTCAGAAATAATTTGTTGTTGTTTTTTAGCTCTAGTTGCAGGAAAGGAAAATATTTCTCATTTGTGGCTGACAGAGAATTCTGAACTGCAGCCTGTGCTCATTAAGAGTCCGTACTTGGATTTCTTTGATCGTTATGTACATCGAAAAGGCTGCGGAGATGCCGCCTCTGAGCCTTCAGTGGAGCAGGGCTGCGGAGAAGGAACTAATGAACCTGGACTTGTCGATCTCTGCTTATTAGTGCAGTGGCAGGTGGGTACATTGCTAGCTGATGGAAGAGAATTCTGTTAGTGTGGAATGTATCACATCCATTTCAAGTGTATTTCCTTAATTCAATTGACATGACAGTTTCAATTATTTTTTTCTTAATACACCTAAAGCAAAGAATAAGAAAGTAATATATGTATGTTTTGATAAGAATGCAAAAGGAAATGGGGTTTGGGACAGTTGGATTGTGAAAGAAAAATTAAGATCAAATAATTGATGAATGTGAAATGTAATATTAATTTACATTGTGATTTAAAATCTGATCACATTTATGTACAGACAATTGTTGCTATTACATCACATTAAAAGATATTTCAAGCTTTGATTATGACCTTCTTCGAGTCTCAATCACATTGAAAATTAAATATGGTACAATATAAAAATATCAATTCAAAGAATGCTTTAAGGGTAATACACTAAAATAAACATAAATCCACTTAACAGTACCTGAAACGAGAATTAAAATAGTAGGATAAACAATCCATTTCTAACAACATATTCCAGCTTCACTGTTCTGAAGTGTAAACAATGTAACTGTTTATGTCTGATATAAAATACAAACACATAGTCACTAATGTGGGCAGAAATCCAAATCTCAACTGAATTATGTATAGATATTAGACTTGTGTATTGATTAATTTGCACGTACGTCATTCATGTAATTCATACATTAATACATGAATACATACATGAATTACATTCAATTGCTGCAAAATTTTCTGTTCTATAATATTTTCATTTCAAAAAAATTAAAAATGTCTTGTTTGAAGAAAAGTTTTTTTTTCTTCTTTCTCTTTCTTCCTTTTGTTCTCACTTCTTTTTGTTTCCTCCAAAATATAAAACAATCAAAACATTATATTTTTTTACTACAATCAATTCTCAAAACATGTTTTTAGAGAAAAACAAAAATAAGTAGAATCAAACAATTGTCTCTTGTTAGCATTGTTAATAATGTTCACTTGAAGCATTATTTCTGTGGTTTTTAAACAAATATCTTCCAAATGTCTGATCTTCCTTATACTTCAAAAACTTTGACTGTTTAGAGTAGTATTGCATTATTAGTAATGACAATCTCACAAATGCGAGACACATATATCTACACGATGTTATCAAGAGTTATTCCAGGGTAATACTTTATGTCAACTGCTTGCAATTCTGAGTGTAAAAATTGCAAATTAAATTAAATGGAGTAAAAGAACGTAAGGTGTATTCTCAAAACATAGAAACGTATTAGTGTTATCAGTATATCTTGTAACTATTCTTCATGAGATGAGTACAGTTGTAGATTGCTGAAATCATGCATGATTTTGAATGTAAAAAGAATGATATGCATTAAAGAATATAGCGATGGATTGTTTATTGCAGGCATCAGTGGTCATAGGTCAAGGAGCCCGCCGCAGTGCTGTGGGCCAAACATGTATTCTGGTGCGACATGCAGGCGTACCCGCCTCTTGGCCACCTGCCATCCCACAGACGGGCAGCTTGCAAGCGTTGTCTCCTAGTTGGCCCCTTAGTTCTTTTGGAGTAGAGACAACGCCTGCTCTGCCAGCATCAGGCAACACTGGAGAGCGCTTCCCTGCTTTGGAAGCTCTTCAGAAACTAGTCATCTTCACCATATCTCATCCTCCTCGTGTAATGCATGATTTCAAAAGCAGCAGGTGAGTGACACCTCTTTTAGCGAACAAATAGTTGATTTAAATTCTTTTATTTATTATGCTGCTATTTTTGAAGACCTCATAATTTGTCGGTACTGCTAAACAGATGCTTGAAACTTCATAGCTGAGCTTATTTTGCCTACGTCTGTAATGTAACATCAAGATAAATATTCCGAGTCAAAAATCAAAATATTTTTGTGGTGTTTATGAATTTGCTCAATTGAACAATAAAACAGTGCACACGTAATTAATGTCATTAATACTTATCAACTTATTTTGACATCGTAAGTTATGTTAGATACACAAAGTATATAATTTGCCATATTCGGTCAACTTTAGTGGCCTAAATTTATTTTCACTCAGCAGCCTTCGAAAAGCTGTGTATTTATCGTTTTGATCATTCACCAGGTAGCCCTGACGGAAGTAAGGAAAACAAAATGCAAAATGATCAGTTTATGAAACTTGGGGCTGTAGTTGTACTTCACTCTCATTTATTTAAATTTGATTTTATATAATATATATATATTATATATTATAATATATATATATATATATTATATATATATTATATAGTATATATATATATATATATATTAATGTATGTATATGTATATATATAAATATTTTTCCAAAATTTTTATGTTCAAAGACAATACTTTTGCATTTAAACGCCTAAGACTTGGATTTTTATCTAGAAGAAAATTTACTAACATGTATTAGCAGGTTCCACTTCTTTTACATATAAAGTATTTATTATTGATTTTTGGGAAGATTTTTACTAGAGAGGTTAAAACACATATAGTATTGTCTTTGAACATAAAGATATTGGAAAAATATTTATATTTTGTGTACTAATATTAATTCTTAGAACTGGTTTTAGTAGTTTAATGAAATGATGTAATAATCAATTTAAATAAATGAGAGTGAAGTACAACTACAGCAAGTTTCATAAACTGAATGTAATAATACTCATTACATTGAGCTTCAAGCAGTCCTTCTACAACCAATGACTCTTAGCCTACGTTTTACAACTCTAATTTACTTGGACTCTTATGTGAAAGCGGGCACACAGGGGCAAAGTTCTTTTCACTTTTAGAACAATGATTTACAAAGTGCGGAATATTATATCAAATCTTTCTAGTTTGCTTTACGAAATGTAAATGGATTAATTGCAGGATCAATGTAAATAGTTTTCTGTAATTCCATTGATGCAAACTAAGATTACAATATACAATGCAAGCAAAACAAGTTAGTATTTTCCAGTCATGTTCAACAATTTAAAATTGAAATAGAATTACTAATAATTGACTAAAAATAGTAATAATGCAATACTATTTCTTCACATAATTACTCAAATGCTTGTAGTGTATAACAAACATCATCTGTGTTTACTGGCTGATATTCATTAATAGGTTTTATTCATTAATTCATTCATTCAAAAATCCAACACTTATATTTGTAAACTTCTCATAGAGGACTAAATGAAATAGTTACTGACAGCTTGTGTAATAAATTGTTTTCTCACAAAATTGTAGCTGTGATGGCCACGATGAACCATTTGTGTTCTGTTTCAGGTTGTGTGTGGTGCCTGTACAGTTGTTATTGCAAAACTGTTCTCAGCAGCAATTGCTTGTGAAAATCAACACCCTTAGTAACAGCAAGTGAGTACATTTTTAAAGTTAAATAATGTATTCTCAGGCAAAGTGAAAACTAAACTACAGATCTTTATTAATATATTGATTGCTATATAAATTGTAATTTTTTATTTTATAATATATTGACAATTCATCCTTTGTTTTTTCTTAGTGCAAACATTCTTTGTTTTTAATACTTTTCTTTAGTTACTTTTTTCTTCTTTTTTTTTTCAGTTTTATTTATATGAGAACAATATTTCACAGAAAATATTGTGTCCCAAAAATTGACTTTTATTTAAGAACTATGTAACTCGATATATCTACTTCTAAAATGTAAAATTTTTACAATTTAAAAAAAACAAGATTTTACTGACAATGGGACCTATGTCTATATTTTAAGCGTCCTTAGTTTTTATCTGTGTATAAATTTAAACAAAACAACTATTGAGCCAGTTTTTAGAACAAAATTGTTTAAAAATTGACTTTATTTCTCGCAAAATTACTCAGAAACAATTCACGTTTTCAAAAAATTGTACATGAACTTATTTCTAGATCTGTCTTTGGTGAACAGATTTCATGAAAGAAACTAGTGGTGCTGTACAAAGGCACAGATTTTCTAATACTAATTATATTGTTTCTACCTGGGCAATCTTCTGGGTGTTGCTTCACCCTCTTCTCAGCTACCTAAAACACATTTTATTCAGATTATAAAAAAATTCAATTGATGTAATTTTTGTAGAAACAAAAGAATTCAACAAAATGGTATTTCTGTAATCTTACACACTGCATTAAGCATTATCTGTTCTAAATATTGAAAGAAGAAAATTGACAGTTTTTTAGAAAATGGCGTGAGAGTGTTTCTGAATATGTGTAATTTCGAGCTCATTTTTACTCAGTTTTGAATTTTCAAAAAACTTTGTAAGTCTTCATGTGAAGCACTTGTATTCACAAAATGCAATAATGAATTCAAATCACTAGTATTGCATGTATAAATGATGTGAGAGTTATCTAGAAATTTACATTGGAATTGAATTTTATAATTTTTTGAAATAACAAAAGAATGGTTAAAATAGTGTTTACATCGTCTGTTACTGTGAAATGAGTGCCAGCCCTAAAAACATTTCAAGAAAAAAGTTTAAGCCATTTTTGAGAACAAATTTTTGCAATATAGTTTGTTTGTAGCTAGTTATAGACATGACTTGTGCCACAAGTAAAAGCACTGTAATTATTAACAAACAAGATCTGTGACCAACATTAGGTATCAAAATTTTAATATAATGCAAGGCTTCTCAGTTCTTTATGGTCACTCATTACGTGGTGAAAAGATGTTGAGAGTGTACTCATTATGTAATGAACATAATGTCGTTTCTTGACTGAAATTAGTAAAACAATGGATTACTTTCCAGACAGTCTCGAATGAAAGCTTTTCTGTCATTGAGTTGTAGTTGTTTCTCCCATGATTATTTCATTTTATTTTTTTAACATTTTTTTCCAGTATGCAGCCAGCTAATAAGAGTCAGCTCTATTCTCCACATTCCTCTGCAGCTTTCCGCTGGGTGGGGCTGGCCAAGGCGTGGTTGGAGCTGCCTGGCCATGCCAGTGCTACTGTGGCCCTCGCTGCTGCACTGGGCAGCCCTGGCACTTTTGACATGGGTGCTCATCTGGAAGTGTGGTGTTGTGAACCTGGTGCTCCTGCTGCTAATGCTGTCAGTCAGAGCTGGCGAGTTGAGTCTGCTCTTATTGTCAGCTCCATGTCATAGCATACTGCTAAATTGTACCTAACTGATCTCCTCAACTGTTATATCGTGTAATAAATCTTTCCCTGTTATCTAAATAATGTCTCATTTGTTTGTGCAATTTTGACATTAATAACTTAGTATGTTATTGACTTTATAAGATCAATATGGGAATTCAAGTATAACTAAAAAAGTTTATTTAACATAGATTTAAACGATTTAGCATGTACCATTCATGTTGATTTATACAGAGAGAGCCAAAGCAGAGATACTCCCTGGTCCATTCAGTCTTTTCTCAGATGAAAAATGAGGCACAAATATACTGCCATTGCCTCCGTGCTCTCCCTGAATCCACTAGAGGGTCAGAACGAGTGCTGGAATTGCGAGGAATATTTACAATCTCAAGGAAAAATTGATGAAGCAGGAGCTTCACCATACAGATAGATGAACCCCCACAGATATTATGTTTTGTCTTTGAGACAAACTTACCGCTGCAGAGTCAAGTCACGTTAATTGTTGGTTTGATTTGTGTTGATGGTGGTTATTTATTGTATTTCCTTTACTTTTTCCTTTTTTACCTCCGACAAGATAACAGCATTTCGAGTTGTCAGTTTTGGAAAGTTATCAACAAGAAGCCAATTTAAAAAATCATGAAACCAATTTAAAGATGTTGCTTATTTTTAAAGTGTCTTCAATACCGTATTGTTTTACTGCTGCAGATTTCAATAGAGAGTGAGGAGAGTGAGTAAGCACTTCAAAAGTAACTTTTACAATACTTTTGTATCCAGATTTCATGGTTCCAATGACTAAGATACAAATCCACATCATGCCCATTAACTCTGTTTGGTGCGAATTTAATGTAGAAATTGTGGAATTACAATGCGTTACGACTGAAAGCAATGGTGACTGATGCTTAGATTGCATGAGATCGTCAATTTTTTTTTATATATAATATGTTAGGAAAATACATTTTCATTTTAATGATGTTCAATATCTAAAATATTGCAGTAATATCTATGTATATCAAATTATTTTGAACCAAGGAGCTGTTTGTGATGCTAGCGGGTATGGTGCTCTCCATTTTACACACTTGGCTCCATGCTTCAACACGGCTCAGTAGGACCTTTGGTTGCACAACCAGTGGATGGGGGTCTTATTGCCATGCTCTAGGTGGCGTCCAAGAAGAAAACCAATTTTCTGTCTTAGTCTGACACTAAATTTTATGTATTTCACATGTTACTGAAAGTACTCAAGTTCAGTACAGTCAATTAGTATGCAGTTCATACAGTCAATTAGTGACTATTGAATGCATTATTTCAAAGATATAATCAGAGCAAAGCGTAACTTTGCGTCAGTGTTAAACTGCAAGGCTGAGCCTATTTAAAACTTTTAATGAAAAAAACAACTTTTCATTATCTCAGAATGTGCTTATTGATAACTTTCTAATTCACAATTACTTTTCACATCTGGCTTTGTAGATTTTGCGTCTCTAACTTCCCGTTTGTTTTTTGCGAAGTTACACATTGCAGGAGGAAGGCTCTGGCGTTCAGATCCTACAACACACGTGCAGGTTGTGAGATTGCGAAACACAATTCGCTGTTACTCCAGTCAAATTGATTTCACAAGGACTGGCCTTTCAGGTGTCCTCGAATTCGTTCGTGGCATGTGACGGACTTGCACCACATGCGCCCATACATACACCAACTCAGTTTATCTGAATGACTAACCTCTTGTTGAAACTTAGGACGCCTAAAAGTCTTTTAATACAGGAGTGACAAGAAACGGTGGGCCGCTAGGAGTGCGATAAAGTGACTGTGCCGTTAATGTAAGTGGCGTGTGCGTTGTACAAGTCGTCTGTCAACGCTCATGGACATTTAAAAAGAAGTTTGTTTGTTTTTTCTTGGTAGTTGATTTACATTTTTTTTCATTTATTCGGCCTTTCTTGCGGTCGGCATCAGCGAGTCCACGCGACGCAGACAGTGGGGGAGCGCAGCTCAAGTCGTTGGCGAATGTCTCCAGGTCGCATCGGGTGGCGGCAGCGCATGCACGTCCCCTCCCATCCCTGAGCGATGAAGTGTGCGAAGGCGTAGGATCTCGATTCAACGGCCTGCTGCTTGTGAGCGAGCGTCCGTGATTGAGATATTCTTTCTTGCGCTGTAAGTTACAGCGCAAGTTACATCTCAATCACGGACGCTCGCTCACTAGGTTACAGCCTGTAACCTTGAGCAATTATCATACTCATGAAATTAGTGTGATCGGATATTGATAGAGAAAAAATAGTACACTTATTTTAAAATCATTGCTTCTTCGTTTTCATATGAATAAAAGAAACGAGTAATTGATATTGGGTGATCATGTTCTAACCTAATAATATTTTAGAATGTAATTTTTAAATGACAACCGAACGACGGAAAATGCTCAGCATGTATTATTTTAATCTTTGCAATAGAAACTACAATACCCTCATTGATGTTGTTTTGCGACTATCTTTCCTTCAGTTTTCTAATATAATATAAAATAAATCCGGACGTTGTTTATATAAATATTTTTTACTCTAAATATGTATGCGAAAAGAATGTGGGGGTTAACACTTTCCATCACTATCAATGCCTTAGGTCCACAGTCACTGGTTAATATACATTTCGTTGGCGTTCACTCAATGTTATTCCCGAGTATTACGTCGCTTGAGTTTTTCGTCGTGTTAATTAGAGCGCATCGCGAGTAATAGCGAGAAGCAACCTCAAGGCGACGGGAAACCGGCGCCGATGAAGAAAGAATTTTTAGTGATGGCGAGAAGTAACCACTAGGCGTTGGGAAACCGGCGTGCTGAGGAAGAAAGCCAACCAGCAGTCAGCGACGAAGCGAAGCAACCCTTCGCCATTTGGAGGCATCCCCCGAAGGACTAAACTTCGAACACGTCCCAAGGCAACTCTTCCAGAAGGCCTTAGAAGAGTTAAACAACCGTAAGGAGGCAGAGGTGCGACCTCAGCCGCGCCTTCTGATGGCGAGCAGCACCACGAAAAGAGAAACTACCATTGACGCTGAAGGTATACCGCGGACGGGTGGCGACCCGCTTTTGAAATGTTCAAAAATGGAGTGTTAACCGTGAAAATCGGACCTATGCCACCGTTATGTGTATTTTACTCTATTCTTACAAGATTTGTTTTTAAACAATTGGAGCCATTTTTGAGAAATTTTTTGGAAATGTCCCAGGGACTTTATGTGCAGCACCCCCAAAAACTAATCAATGATTTTCAAAACCGCAGAGTATCGACTCACGCCAAATAGACGGTGGTTTCTTCAATTCTGAAAAAATCTTGCGCATAGTTCAGACGCTAGTGTTGTTCACATACACTAGACAGACGGACGAACGTTTTCGAAAAAACAAACTTTTTTTCGGTATCTGGCGACCCAAAAACGTGTATTTTCGTTGAAATCTCGAAATCGATTTTTCGCAGCATTACGTAATTTCCCTATACTACGTGTATTACTCCGTATAAACGTTTGTAAGCAGGAAAGTAAAAAGGCACTGAGAACTATACGTACGCATACGGGAAAGTAAAAATGGCAAGGGGGGTACAGCGAAACAATTTTCTCAGGCTCTGCAATCAGAGTGAAAGGTGTCCAAAAGTACCCCGAAAACCCATTGAAAATTGTCTAAGAACGCCACCCCGCACCGCCTTTAGTTTAAAAATCTATAAAAATACCTCCCGCTTTCATGTCCCCGCGCTGTCATCTCGTAACAAAGGGCGCAGAAAGCTCCCTACTCGCTCTTGTGCTGTCGGTGGCTACCACCCTTTTCGCATTTCCGTCGGATTAGTGTATCAGTAGACTCACCCACGCCATGTTTAGGTGAATGACATTCTACGTGAGGTATAACAAAGTCACTGTCGTCGGCACAAGCAGTGCGCAAAAATTCGTAGGCGCAGATTAATTTGCCGCATATTCGGCGACAGCAATCGCTGTAGTTATCAGAACTGTAATTCAACAGCCGGACTGCTTCTTAGCGCGAATGCGAATTTTGCATCCGCGATCACGTACAAAATCTGTCCCTGAGATCAGAATCTTTCTAAGTTCGAAATCTATCTCGAGCCAATCTTCCTGAAGTCAGAATCTACCTGCTATATGATGTAAGGGTAAATCTCCCCTCAAAGTCAATATCTATTCTTCACCAAAGTCGAGATCTATTTTGCCGCTGCTCATGGTCTTTTCTGTAACGAGGCCTGGAATCCCCTACTCCAAGGACCTCGGCATCGCTGCGTCCATTTCCCTTTTAGCCAATGAATGTTAATATTAAGGGCGTAACTAGTATTCCCTGTGGCGTGATCAATTAATTCCGAGGGAGCGTTCTCATCCCCGAAGTGCCGCTTGTTCTAAGGTTACGAATTTATTACTCAAGCTCTGTCTATCAGAACAGAGCGTGTTTCAATGCTTTCCATAGATTTTCTCAATTAGTCCAAGTCGCGTTTACTAAAGGGCTCGCATCCCACAGTCCATTATCTACTCTTTGAATGGATGAATGCTCCTTTGTGAGATTAGGAGCTTTGACAGTAGCTGGGCAGTAGTAAATGTCTTGCCTCTCGACATTTGTACGTCGAGAGGCGAGACAAACATTGCACATTGTACAAAACAATGTACATTGTTCCGTCTTGAGTTGAAAAACTGCGCTCATCTAGGGAGCCACATTTGCTTACGGACATATCGCCCCGTCTCGCGAGCTGCGCGGCTTGTGACCACCTCGCTTTCTAAAGACCCATTAACAATGCAAACATAAACATAAGTATAAAGTTAGGACTATGTTCATAAGCGTACTCATTCACAGTGCGTTCGCATAAGCATAACACGTAAGACGAGTTTGCAAGCTTCTGTGCTTATGTTTAAGTAAGACATAAGATCTTAACGAATCAAAGTATGTTAACACAAAATAGAGAATCGAAAGAGGAGCGAAGTCGATAGACGAACTAACGCCATATAGGCCATGGTCAGAGTCGATACCTCGAAATCAATTCTCACATCCAACCTATTGTAAACTAGAATGTCTCACAGCAAATAGAAACTCTTAAGGTCCATTCACAATGCAAACGTCAACATAAGCATAGCGCATAGAGATAAACATTGACATAACTGATAGACTAAAGTATTCACAATGTCTAACATAAACGTAAGCAAAATAAGAGTTTCTACACAAGCACAAAAGCTTGCAAGCTTTATAGTTAACGTCTTTCGAGTTATGCTTATGCGAACGTATTTTGAATGAATCCGCTTATGGATGTAGTCCTAACTTTTATGTTTACGCCATGCTTATGTTAGTGTTTGCGTTGTGAATGGGCCTTTATTGTTTGCTCATCCCTTCTCTGACAGCTTTCTGCGTTGAGAAATACGAAATTATTTAATTTATTACTTGGTCGCTTCGATCATGATGTGTGTTACATCACAGTATATTGCCCTATTATTCCAGTACGGTATTTCTTCTCTATGAGATCGTTGTCTAGAGCAATACCACGAGTTCCATTCGAAGGTAATTTTGAAAGTAAACTGTAATCAATGACGTCAAACGATTTTAAAGCATCTAAAAATATTCCATTAAGTTCTTCATTTTGATCAATGAATGAAGCAATTTTTTAAGAAAAGAAAATATGGCTGTTTCCATAGATTTCGATTTTCTAAATCAATGTTGGCAATCCGAAAACGCTCGTGTTTACTCAGAAAGGTTTCCAATTGCACATGTAGAAACGATTAATGTTTTTGAGAAAACTGATAAAAGATTCGTCGACTAAACGTACAGCAGAAATACATACATTATTAAATGATCGTAGAAAAAAGTGTTTTTCCCACCGTGAAGTCACCATGAAAAAGTCTTTTACGAATGAGAACGTCACATTTTGAGATGTTTTAAGAACATACTAACTCCACGCATGCGTAGCAGCACGTAGAAAACCCTATTTTTATACGATCGTAGAAAGAAAATACATTTGTGAATATTTTTCAATGGCGTCGGAGGGGGTGAGGGCTGAAACCCCTGAGCCCGTTTGCTTGGTTGCACCGCTTGTTAAAATATTTTAATGATTAAATTTCTCGTGTTGATATGATAGTAATGAAACCATTACTGAGATCGTACCTATACGTAAATCCTACAGCTCTTCAGTAGGGTAAGAATCAGAATCATTGTCTTGAATTGAGTCATCAATTTATAAGTATCAATCTAATAAAAATATTTAAATGATTCGTTTACATAATAATAATAATAATAATAATAATAATAATAATAATAATAATAATAATAATAATAATAATAAATTGAGTTAAATGTGTAATATTTATTGAGTCACATGTACATGCTAATCAAACTATTTTATTTTAATTTCTGAGTTTAAATCGTTCAACGTACATTGCGTTAAAGTGCATTTCCATATTTGACACGAAGATTTCAATTTATTGTTGTTTCTATGTAATTAAATTATGATTTTTACTATTATTTCATCAATAAACTATTTAAATATTATTTCATTAAAATCAAGTGTGGGTCAAAATTTATAGATGTCAGAAAATAATTTTGTTTTTGCTATTTATTTTTTTCTCTAGAGGTAAATAATTTAATGTGATTGAATAGTAATAAAACATTCATATATTTTTATCCTAGGTGAGTATTACGACAAAATATCCAAAATTTCCTACAGAATTCTAAATTAATTTGTAAATAAACTGTACCAGACGAACGATATATTCAAAAACACTACATAGTCTATCGAATAATTCGAATTGTAAGTCACAGAGAGTATATATCGTCACGTCACTGACTCCCAGCACTTCGTTAATTATCTACAGTACAAGACAGCGTATAAGACTCTGACAGTTCTCTCGCCACGTGCTGTGGTACGTCATGTGACCTACTCTGGAACAATCAGCTCGCGAGGATTTGTTTACTTTCTTACAGGCAGGGTTCAGCATTGCCGCTCATCTGACTCGCAGGAAATCGCGGAGGCGATAAGGTTCGGCTTTAACAAAGGTTACGGTCATGATAATAAGACAATTGATTGGCTGTCAGTAAGTGTTAATGTTTTGACATGTTTTGACAATTTATCTATGATGCAGGTAGTGCCACGCACGTAGTAATATGTGGCAACAGCACATTGGACTGTCAGAGTCGCTTAAAAGCTATCAATACAGTAGGATTTTGTCAAATTTAATTATAGTGACGTATGAGAAATCATCAGCTTTCATCATCCCTTACCTTGGATATCCAATCGAAAGGCTTGAATATGTAAAATAAAGTCACAGCAGAGCTATTGATTGGACATCTTGGTGTACATATGTCATTATGTTTCAATCGGTCAGTACTGTCGCCAACCGTATGATGGCAGCACTGAGATACACCATAACTGCGGTCGTGAGATTTAACATGTAGTGTGTTGTCCATCGTTTAATATTGAAAGGCCGTGGGAGGGTCGGCAAGGTATATTTGTCAAAAATGCCTTTGTTGCGGCAGTTTCGGCTGTTTGACCATAGTATTATTGATAAGTTACCCCCATTAATATATTTTAAACGTTATTTATTTCATGGGGTTAATCGTTGGGTTAGTATTTTATACATTGAAGGTTATTTTTATTATTATTCTAAATGAAATGAAACTTGTTGTTCTAGTTTAACAATGGACTGGTTTATTTCAGAATGAAGAGCTCTCCACTGATTTGAAGCATGATATAGAAAATAAATGGCATAAGCATGTATATAAAAAAAGTGAAGAAAAGAATGATCAACCCAAATACTATGTTTTATCAATGTTTCCGTATCCTTCTGGCCAGTTACATATGGGGCATGTGCGTGTTTACACTATTAGTGATACAATGGCACGCTTTCATAGAATGAATGGTAAAAACGTATGTGAATCCACTTCTGTTGTTTTGGAATGCTCTTGTCTTGTACCAAGAATACCCCAAGAATATGATGCATTATGTGCCAGGTGATTCATCCAATGGGTTGGGATGCTTTTGGCTTACCAGCAGAGAACGCAGCAATAGAACGTAATGTGCAACCCCAAGAATGGACTAGACATAATGTGAATCACATGCGTAAGCAACTGCAGCGCCTTGCCTGCAGTTTTGACTGGGAAAGAGAGCTTGCCACTTCGAGCCCAGCTTATTACAAGTGGACACAATATTTATTTTTAAAGTTATATAAATCTGGATTGGTGTATCAAAAGGAGGTATTCTAATGAGAGTTTTTGTTGACTAGGTCATACAATTATTGAATACCAGACTTTGTATTTGACATTATCTGTTAATTTGCTTACAGGCTTGGGTAAATTGGGATCCTGTGGATCAAACCGTATTGGCTGATGAGCAAGTGGATGAGAATGGGTGTTCATGGCGTTCTGGAGCCAAAGTTGAACGTAAACTACTAAAACAGTGGTTTGTCCGCACAACACGTTTCTCTAAGTGAGGATGATTCTTTTAATTCTGAGTTGAATTTACACAAAATTAAGTTTGGTCCAGGGTTGTTAATGACTGTCTTCTGCACTGTCTTCAGGAAGATTTGTTTTAGTCTTCGTTACTTTATTCTCTAAAACTCAACATTTCAAGCAAAATGTAGGTTTGCACTCATCCTCTGTAAATATATTATAATAAAAGATGACCTTAGTACATGATCAAGTTTTTAAAATGTTGGTTACCTTATTATCATAAAATTAACTTTTTAATTTAAAATTTATTTTTGATATGAGCTTTAAGATTAAAAGTTAGTGCTTTATGAAACCAAGAGTTAAAAAATAAATAAAATAAAAGAGTGGTATTTAATGACACTAGGTATCAGGGGTAACAAGAACACAGAGGCAAAAATAGTCCCCTAGAAAAGCACTACTCCAATTAGTCTTTAGAAGTTTGTGAATCATTGGTGAGAAATGTTTATAACATTTTTGAAACAGTATACATATATAACCTGACTAAATATGTTATCACAAAAACAATTATTTTTAATAGCAATGATGGAAATTGACGACATACATGGGTATAGATTTGGTCCTTTTAGTGCAATTTATTATGTGATAATGCTTACACTGTCTTTCACATTCACTGCATATTCACTTGTGATTTGGTTCATGGAAACTCCTCTCACATATCCAATGGCAGAACCTGTGCATTGCCAGGTGCATAATCACATGCCTTTGCTTGTACTCTGCCTCAATCTATTTGCATCAGTACAGTATCATCACATCAGTCTCTTCTTCAGTCATTCAGCATTAGCCTTAGCTCATTTTTGTTGGACAGCTGCAATTGAAGTCATATCCTCCAGTAGGAAAGTTTCTTTTAGCATTACATACACCGTTCTTCACCATGCATACTTGGAGATTCTTATAGTTTTCTTTTAATGAAAATTGCTTTCAGCTTTTCTAACTGCTTGATTGTGAGGTAGTTTTCTAAACTATACGTCCCTAAAGGAAGTACTTTGTGGATAAATAATTTCAGGGCTGTTTTTATAGTCAACTAAGACGTGGAATGTTTTTTATATATCTTGATGATGCAATTAATCTTTCCTTTAGATGTACCTTGAATGTTCTTCCTGTAGTTCCTAGGTATTTGGGTGAGCTTGTTTTTCTTATTAAGCTCCATTGCACATTATTATGTCCTTTCTTTTGGCTCTTCCACATCTCCGAAATATTGTCATTTATGTTTTATTTCTATTTATTTGTAGCTCATTTGCAGTTGCCCATTTACTTAGAGCATGAATTCCTTGCACTCTACTGCCAGAACATTGATTCGTACTCTGGTTGTCCAGAGCTGAAGTTTCTGAATTAAGAATTATGACCATTGCTTGAAACAATGGCTTGCAAAAAGAGATAATGCTGCACAGTGTCTCCAAGTCAGTTTTGGTGACTACCATTGTCAATTTTCACATTAACATTGTGCATCATGCAATTGATGCATTGCCAAAAATATTAAAGGAGATACTCGAGAAAATGATGCAAGTTTTGAATAATGTGTATATATTTATTAATGTGAATGTTTGCTTTTTAATGCTACAAATTTGTGTTTCTTTTCTCTTGCCTGTTCTGTAAATATTTTTTTCACATTAGTAGGAGTATTTATGACCATGTTACATATTTATGATGACTATGCCAACTACATATAATTTATGTTTTATTTTATTGTAAGAGTGAAACAATGAGGTGTGATGTTTTTCAGGGCACTTTGTGATGGTTTGGATGATCCATTGCTAGAAAATTGGAGGGACATCATTAAATTACAAAAACATTGGATAGGGGAATGTAATGGTACTGTCTTAGAATTTGATCTAGAGTCAGATCAAATTAATCCAGACAAAACTATTCCCAAGAAAACAGTTACGGTGTGGACTCAAAGACCTGAAATGGTGTTTGCTGCACGTTTTATTGCTATCTCCCCAGGCAGTGTGTTGGATGTCTTGTATAGTGAGAGTAGTTCTGCAAAGAAAGACTGGCGACAGCTGCCAGTGAGGGCTTACAATCTCTTTACTGGTGAATTCTTACCTATCTTTGTGACGGATAAAGTGCAGTATCACGAAGGGACAGACTCTCACTTAGGGACACCAGAAGCTTCTGAGGCTGATCGAGACTTTGCTGTCCTTGCCAACATCCCAACTCCCTCCACTCCAGAAGAGGATGGAAGAGTGTTTCGCTCAGAAGATGATGTCAAGGTTATAAGAGACAAAGTATGTGTACACCCAGTGGTTATTATTTTTAAAGTCATGCAGTTTTTGTGGATATTTCTTGATTAACAACAAAGATGGCCATTTGTTGTAGAGCGGTATTAGTTTACAAGTTTATACTTACTAACAAGTAATTATAAGGATTGTCATACTGGATTAAAATTGTTTAGATTAATTGGTAAAATTTTGCATTCGTATTGGGGCTGTAGGTTTGTGAGATGGCACTTCAACGTGGCGCAGGGGGCTTCCAGACCAGCGCCAAGCTACGTGACTGGCTAATTTCACGCCAACGCTATTGGGGGACTCCAATACCTCTCGTTCATTGCCCTAGTTGTGGTGTGGTGCCTGTGCCAGACTCACAATTGCCTGTGGAATTACCTCCCTTACACTCTGAGATAACAAAAGGCCAAGCAGCTCTTTCAGAAGCTACGAACTGGCGACAAACTTCATGTCCTAAGTAAGTGTACATTAATGATGTTGTGCTTGAAAATAAGTAAAATAGTGTTGCTTCTTTCCATAACAGACTTTTTCAGTTATTTGCAATTGTTACATAAAATTGTAGAAATTATATTGTAATTTTTATGTTGTTAATATTTCAATCTTCTCTTGCAAAACTCATTTCACCAAACTACTTGTAACACAACACTGTTATTTCCCTAACATCCACTTCATAAGAAAATTAGGAAGCAGCTGGAAAGAGGGAGGGGCAATACCAATAAGCTAGCCTAGACTAAAATCATTTAAAAAGTGAGTGACAAAGTCTGTGCCATTCTTTAGCACCACTAGTTGTTTAACCATTGGAAAGGTTGGGTATTGTGAGGCTGGTGATGTAGGGGTAACACGATTAAAAATGCGCAATAAAAAAACTACACAAGTGAAACAAGATTTTACTGAAACCTGCTCCAAATTGTTTGCTTAAAAGTATGGCACAAGTTCAATATTCATGAATAATGCTGGAATGTTGAAAATTGCAAGTTATCATTTTTGCCAATCTCCTTTTATGCTGATATTGATGCTATGATTTTATGCTTGTTATTGAAGTTAGTTTTTTTTATATGATTCTATCTTTTCTTAAATATTTGATCTATAAAACATTTGATTCATGTTATTCGCAAAATATTAGTCATTTTCACATAATTTTATGTAGTATTGGGACCAAATTCAAATGTTTCTCCATACTTTCCTGCTTGTTATTAATTAATTATATTAAGTATTATTATTACCCTGATATATAATAAGTATTATATAATACCCTGATTTATAATTGTCTAACTAGAGACATTTACAAAATATTTTAAATGTTTAAAATAAGTTTGTTATAGAGTTAATTTACAACTAAATTTCCTTCCTGATGTATCCGGCTATTGAATATAATAGCAACAGTTATTATGTACATGTTAAAAATGTTCATGTTATTGTATATGCCAACTTGAAACATGCTATGAATACATAATTGAAATATTTTGTCATCAATAAAAATAGTGCTTCTGTTTGGCTCTTGGCTTCGCACAATTTGTCAATATTATTGTAAGACAGTTTTGATTGTTTTTAATGGGTTTAGTAGCAGAAAATTTATTACTTTGATTTGTTCACAACAATTCCACATTTTTCTTCCAATTTTCCTAAAATTATTAATTTTTGTTTGTAAATTAATATGAAAACAAGTATACTTGAGGTGATAAATATGCAAGGAGGAGATAAATTAAGTTGTAGTTGTGTTAGTTGTGTTAGTTGTAGATGTGACCTTTTTGCTGAAGATGTGGAAGCCCTGCAGAGCGAGAGACTGACACCATGGACACTTTTGTGGACTCATCATGGTACTTCTTGCGATTCCTTGACCCTTGGAATACAGAAGAGCCCTTCTCCAAAGATGTTGTTGCGCATCAGATGCCAGTGGATTTATACATAGGAGGAAAGGAACATGGTAATGTATCTAGAGATCTTGTGACTAAATGTTATGTTAAAAATAACTATTAATTATGGAATCCTTTCTTATTGGGACTAAATATTTTTTTAATATTACATTTTGTTCTTTTTATTTAAATATGTATTTTGCACCTATGTTCATGTGAGATTGTGCAAAAGGGTTAAAGGTATGAAATGGATACGCCATAATATTATTGAGGTCTTTTTGTTTTAGCGGTACTGCATCTATATTACGCTCGCTTCATGCACCATTTCCTACATTCCCAAGGGTTGGTGCCTACCAGAGAACCATTTCGTAAGTTGCTAGTCCAGGGCATGGTCATGGGACAGAGTTACAAAGTGGAAGATTCTGGTCGCTACATTCCAGAAAGTGAAGTTCAAAAGACAGGTAAGGAAACATTCTCTGATCATTTGAAATTTATTGTACATCCTATATACACTAAACACTTTATTCCCCAAAATGACCATGACATTGAGTATCACAATACTCTTTAAAAACCTAAATTTTTCGAAATAGGAAAAGCACAGTGTAGTGAATAAGTCCTTTTAGAGGGGAAGAGAGTTTGGCAATTGGCAGGCGGAAATCATTTGTGAGCTACATAATCAGTGAGCTTATTGTAATGTTATGCCAATGGGCCAGATGGACCACACATGTCATTAGGCCAGCGAGGGGGCGGGGCCGTCCTTTGGCAGCAAGGGGAAGACTACCAGAGGCGGGCCCTCCTCAAGGGCCGGGGTGGGTATGTCTCTGAACGCGGGTGTCAACTGGCGGAGAGGGAGATGATGGGTGAGTTCAGCCGTGTGGCAGCTGGGCTCCAAAATTGCAAACAGGCCCAAGTTTCGGGATGAGAGGACGCCGCCGGCATGGGAGGTCTGTCACATGACCCCTTGCGGGGCGGCTGGAGGGTAACCAGCCGTGGTCATTCGTTGACGAACGGAATCACGGTGTGGAAGGCACATTTCACCCAGCAGGGGTTATCGCGAGCTTCGGCAGCGAGGTGTGGCGGTTGCCACGGGACGAGACCAGACCAGGTACCAAGCCGCTGGGGTCTGCATCAGACTGGCTCGGGGATGTCTCAGAGATGTACAGTGCTGGGAGTGCAGCGCTAGTTTTCAAGGAGTGTATATAGTGTATAAAAACTTATCAATAAATCTGTATAAAACAACTCCGTGTCTGTGTGTTACTTGCACCCGACGACACCACATTATATTGAACCCAGGGATACCATATGGTTTGCTGCTGGTTGGCAGCAGATATGAATAGGTGGCTCAACATATTCTGCATTTGGCAAGTAGCTAGCAACAGCTCACCCAATTCTGAAGTAGAAGTGGTGTGTGGCGAATGTTCTCTTCCTTTGATGTGTTCAAATGTTGTGGTTTGAGTGAGCACTGAATGTTGGTTGTGCGGAAAATAGCAAGCAATCCATCCACAGTATTTGTAATTATTTATTGGCAACCCATCCACAGTATAGTAATTTATTTGTAATTATTTAAGTGGTTACTTGGTACTCGCCAAATGGCATATGTGTCAGAGTCATGTTATGGTGAGAGGCAGGTGAGTGTATTGTGGTTGTGGCAATTTAATGTTCCCCTCAAATGCAGAGTAATATTTCAACAACTTCAGAAATTACTGATCTATTACTTCCCCATTTTCTTTTTCAAAGAATTCCCAAGAATATCTGTGATGCATTGTGGTAGAAACATTGACTAAAGAGCCCACAAGGTGTGAATTAATTAGGCTTTGCAGTTGCCTGAGTAACTGAAATGTTTCGCATAAATGTTGACCTTAGAAAATGAGCAGCCTTCTAATCTGTCGATGTTTGAGGTCTGCCTAGAAGATTGCTAGTTTGGAAGGTTGGAGGATGTTCTGGTAAAGAGAGAGTTTAGAACCATTTGCAGTGTTGTTATTATAACAAAGACAGTAAAGATGTAAGACCAAAGACAGTAAGCATTTACAATTAGACTGAGTTTGCAATCAACATGTTAGACTTGATGGCAAGAAAAGTACAATCTGACACATAATGGCCAATGCTTGATTTTTTAAACATTCTTGATGACTATAATGGATTATCTTCAAAGAAATAAGAGAGTAATATAAATAAATAGAAGTTGAAGAAATATTATTTTGAAACTTGCAGAACTATCCTCAGAGTAAATAAAATACAGAAAACAATTGAAAAAAACAAAAAAGAAATGCAGGAAAGTGAATGCCTCTGAAAATAAGAAAGAAGACAACATCAGATGTAGAAATATCTAAATAAATTAAAACAAACAACAGTAAACGGAGAAAACTAGTCTTTGAATCTTGAACAGGAAATAATTTTTAAAAAAATTGGCACTCTATACATTGTAAACTAGCTGTATATTGCATTGCCAATGCTTTAAACTGTGTCTAAATTATTTTTATATTAAAAAAGAAAAAAAAAAAGTTGTCTGGAGCTTTCATTCTGGGATGTAATACGTAAAGAAATATTATTAAAATTAAATAATAAAGGGTACAAAAGAAATGTGTTGCCACGACTCTTCTTCTTGGTTCTTCTTTCAGGCTAAGGCCACTACTCACCCTATGATGTGGATTGTTTTCTCCAGTGTCTGGGAACCTAATCTCAATGTTCCCAGAAGGGTTGTTCTGAAGAATACATTCTTTCAGTGTATTAGGCAGCTTATTAAAGAAAATTTGTAAATTTGCAATCTCTTATACTAGAGCATACTGTATCATTCTTATCTCCTATTCTACAGCGTACTGTTTCATTCTTATAGATTAATACTAGAATATAATTTTGAAGTTACAATGATTTTACAAAAGGGGATTATTCCAATAGCACTACCATATATGCTACACATAACAAAATTATCTTATGAAACAGTCATTATCCTACGTTGATGATGAACCTTTTCCTTTTGAGTGATATGTAAGTGGTATAAAGCAACAAGGAAGCAAAAAATATTGAATTTCTTTGTGTTTTCCTTCAAAATTTTGACACCTGCCTCTCCACTCTATCTCAGGAATTTGTTTAATTGCAAAACCAGAAATTGTTGTCTGTCTCTAATATCACTTGAAACGTTGCTTGATACTGCACTCATCTGTGACTCATGAAGAAGATTCAATTCCAATAAAATACATTTAAAATTTATAATTTCAGTTAGGTATTACATATCTCAGAATGTCATGAAAGTATTGCAACAATTTCTATGCTTAAACCTTGATTTAATAGTGAATACCTGATTTAGTGTGTAGTGATACTTGATTTAATTGTGAAATCAAAACCAAACAAAGCAAAGCCTAAAATTTAAAAAAACTTAGTGTTAAAGTAATGCTGGCTTATTTGTTTCATTTTTTGACTTGTTGAACAACCTTAACTTAAAATTGCAGAGTGGAGAGTCAAATATAGTTGCACAGTGATGCCGTCATGACATGTATTGAGAAACTGCAACTTTGGAGGTGTAAGACATTGATACACCCCTGCAGTTATTCATGCTTTACCAAACTAATTTCAATCCGTAAAGACAAATGCATTAAGGAGATTTTTGAAGGAGCATAAATAAAAAGCCAAATATTAAATCGTTTGGAGCACCTCATTTGAAGAATTTAACAGATACTTTCATAACACTTGTGATGACAACATTTGTAGATTAACAATGGATCCTTTCATTGTTAGCATAGCCTCCCTGCCCAAAGCACTTAAGGCACAATCCTTGGAAGTAAAAAATTATTCTGCTGCGAAGAATGATTTTAGTAAAATGGAGATCCCCATTTTGGGATAAGTATTACAGAGTGTACCCCAAGAGTCTACCACAGCAAGCACTGCAATTGTAACTACCTTTTCCAATCGCCTATTTGTGTGAGGAATTGTGTTCAGTACTTATTGCAATTATAACAAACTTTTGGAGAAAAGTTGATACTGCTGATGATTTACGTTGTGTACTTTCTGATTCTCAGCCAAGGATAGGGAGCGTGATAAAAAAATTCAAGCTCCTCCTTCTCACTGATTTTACTAGTCCCTTACTTGTTTTATATAAATTACAACTTGTAGTATTAATAGGCATAAATTGTATATTCTTGACCTAGCCTAGAAAAGAAACAACCAAACATTTTTACAAGAGGTCAGAAAAGTGTAATTAACTCATAATATTATAAAGAGCAAAAATAAAATGTTTTGTTATTCAATAAAACACTTGTTTTATTGAATTAAAAATGTGTGAGGGAGGCATGGGAATTTTTCCTCTTGACTGATGGGGGCATGGTAACAAAAAAGTTTGGGAATCCCAACCATAGGCATTGTTAGGTTGCAGGTGAGAAGAGGGTGGGGCAATACTGAAAAGCTAGCCCTGACTAAAGAAATTAGAAAAATAACTAGTGCATGGAAGTCTGTGTCGTTCTGTAGAACCACAAGTTTCTTTTTGTTTTCCTCCAAAGAGAAAGGTGACAAAACTGGAAGCCTATAAAATGTAGATCAAACCATAGAAAAGAAAATTTCAAGAGCATAAATATATAAATATTCTCAAATTGAAATATGCTTTCTAATACTTGTGAAATTGCAGAACTTTTAGAAAACTAAAGAAAATTGTGAGATCGTATTTGAATGCTATTTTTATATTTGTTGTAATTCTCATAATAATAAAATTGGTGTTTCAGGTCGCAAACTTGTGGAAAAAGGGACTGGTCTGCCTGTGGTAACTGCATGGGAGAAAATGAGCAAATCGAAGCACAATGGTGTCGATCCAGAGACTATGTTTGAGACCTATGGCACAGATACAACGCGACTGCTTATTTTGGCAGATGTGGCCCCTACTTCTCACCGGCACTGGTCGTCTAAGAGTAATAATGTTTCTAATTTGTTTGAACTACTATTTGTTGAAATGGAAGTGAAAATGCAGAATCAGCATTTTCATTTCATTGATAAGACTTAACAACTATAAAATCCAGACATATTAGCCATTGAATCATACTTAGGTTTTTCTTTCTCATATGCACAGTATAGTCAAAATACTCAATATGCTATAAAAAATGGATGTCCAGATTTGAATGTAACAGGGGTTGTTTTCTTTCTTGCTTCTGTTTCTCTGTCATTGTTTTCTCTCTCTAACAATCTCTCTCTTTGTTTCTATATTAATTTCTCTATCTCTCTCTCATTTTCTAAAACATTTTAAACTTTCTCTTTTAATTTCTTGCTTGAATAGGATGAAAGTTATTGTTAAAATAGCACCTCTGATTTTCATTAAAACCTCTGAATTTTCAAAAATTATTTATAGTGTTCCCGATTTTTTCTGTGTTTAAAAAGTTAATGAAGAAAGAGAAAAGTGAATGTGTGTTTGTGATATGTGTAAAAGTTTGTTTAGCACCTTATTCCATGAACAGCTTTCCCTGGAATTCTGAAGTGGCAGCACCGCCTTTGGCTAACTATACAGAACTTCAGAAAGGTGCGTGATCAGCTGGATGAAACCAGAGCTGCTCAACTACCGGATTCAGAAGCTTTTGATGAACAGGAAGCAAAACTCTTTGATAGCCGTAATTATTATGTGAAAGGAGCTACCTTCAACTATTCTGTAACATTTCAACTAAGTGTTGCCATCTCTAAAATGCAAGGACTTACCAACAGTTTAAGGGTATGATATCAAATAAATTTATGAGTATTCACTTAATAGAAAAATGGTTTCTATTCTAAAGTTACAAAACAAAAATAAAGGTTCAATGATTCTGTGATTAGTTTAAAAATTGGTCAAGTTGAGATTTGCCTTGGATATATATTTTTCTTTCATGTAATACAATGGATGAAGTTTGGATATAGTTGTTGTTGGTTGATTGGTTGTTTGTTTGTGTGTTTGTGTTTTTTTCTCCAAGAGAAAAAATGGTTTTCTAAGCTGCATCATTTTTGTGCACATTTAGAAGGATAATTTTGTCATTTTTTACAGTTTGTCCTATTGAATTGTAAATGTTCCAGTTTGTTCATTGTTAAATCTATTTGAGCTTAACACTCTAGCTTACTACTATTCTTTAGAAATTTATTATAGCAATGAGTTGAATTAGAATCGTTGTAGCTTTGAATAAATAGAATGTTAATTTATCATGTTTGCTTTCAATTCTTTTGTATGCTGATGTTTCTAATTCTTGCCTAAGCAGAGAGCTCCAAATGAAGTTGTGGCCCTAGGACGACAATTTGAGCGTGCTCTAGCAGTCCAGATCATTCTCTTAGCTCCTATGGCTCCACATTTTGCCTCGGAACTGTGGGCAGGATTTACTGGTGCCCCACATCGAGTGAACACTCACACTGAGGAGATTTTTTGGGAGCGAAGTGTACTTGAACAACCATGGCCACAAGTGGATACTAACTACTGCCTAGAGCTTCTTTGTCGAGTAAGTATGTAAAATTAGTTACTCTGAGAGAACATAAGACGAGTTGGAAACCTATGGATGTATGCAAGCTATATAATAAAATGGTTAGCTACAGAAGATTGCTTGTGAAATGAGACTCTAAAAAGTGAATCAGTTATTTATGCACTTTATCTACATGCTGTAACTGATCAGACTTTGCTCGATACATTGCTTATATGAATATATAAGCATTTATAACTAAAGAATAGCTGGACCAATTTTCATTATCTCTGGATTTGATGGATTCACATCTGCCCCAAATAGCAGAATAACTATAAAATTCACCAAATGACGCTGTAGAACCATGCAAAAGTCATGTCAGATGCAACCTGCAACACACTCGTCCGGATTTTTTTAATCCATATCGTTAAATAACTCCTAAACAAAGCATTCTAGAGCATTAAAATCTAAAATTTTGAGGCTGTTTGCCTCAAAGAAATGTTTCTCAAACCGTAATCTTCAGGATGAGAACTTTTTAAACATTATATTAAATTTTTGCTGGAGAGAGGTAGGAAATGGAGAGAAAGGGAGATGAAGAGCAAAATGTTTTGTGGGTTCCACTAGTTATCTTATAATACACAGTTCTGTTGAATTTCAAATAACCATTGTACATGTTTTTGAATAAAGGAGACAAAAATCTGACTTTTGTAAAATTTCTCTGTGAGTTACATGACATGGCATTGCGAGTGGCTGGTTGTTTTTAATCTGCATTATGAGGACTGTTAGCTTATGAATGCTTTTTTGTAAGGGAGGAAAGTAAACATGCAAATGGTCCCCTATCAGCATCAACAAATTTCAATAGAAGATAACCATGTGTATCGTTTTCCAATATACTAACTTAAATATAGTTAATGCACAAGAAAAATGACAAATTTCAAACATTTTCATTTGGGGAGACAACTATTTCATCTTCAGTGAAAGGTCTTATTTCATGACCAGAGACTGATTTACTCCATGTACCAGTTGCCTTGTCAATACTCTTTATAAAGTTTTTACTAGTAAAATGTATTATTTTCTAAACAATTTTATTCACTAAACACAAAAATGATTTTTCAGATATGAGTGGAGTGAGAAATTATTTACTGTTTTGTGCTTGTCAGCTACTTAAGACAATCTCGTAAGTAGGGCTTGGACTTTTAGGTAAATACATATATTTTCCCCTTTAATCTTGAGCATTGAAAGTTAAGTTTAAATGCAAGTAGCACCCCATGGTTTCCATATAGCGAATTGCGTTTCACCTAAAAATAAGTATTTTGATTAAGTTTTATAAAAATAAATATTTTCATCAAAACAAATATTGTTACATTTCCACCTAATAAATAAATATATAAATAAATACTTTTTTTTAGTATTTTCAAGTTTAATACTTTCAAACTTTTTGCATATATGCCGAAAGAAATGCCAGTTGGGAAAGCAATGGTTGGAAACACGTTACTGTGGGACTTCCCCACTACTATCAATTCAGGCAATGACACTCTGAGCAATAACATACACTTATAACATGAGCAGCTCTCAATGTTCCTCAAATTGCCCAGACAAAATGTGCAGTGATAAAGAGGATGACGTCATACATTGTGGCTTCTCTCAATCTTGGCTACTGGTTTTCAAATTGGTAATAAATACATTTCTTTGTTGTTTTAACACGCATTTTGCACTTTTTAAGCACACAAGATTATTAATATTTCAATTTTTTAGCAACTTTTAGTTTGAGCCCTATTTATAAGTGTAGTGATATTGTGTTATATCTCAAGAGGTGGCAAGGTTATTCCCCACCCTCCAATTTCCATCAGGCACTGCCCCAGCTAGAACAAGCTCTAGGGTCCTGACTGTGTGATAGTGTAGTGCTTGTGTGTAAGGGACAATGAAGAGGAGAGAGAGAGAGAACACATGATCCATGACCATTTTGTTAGGGAATAATTACGATATTTCATGTGGTATTCATTGGAGAAACATGAAAAGTTATTGATCACAGCAACTGGCCACTAGAATTCTCCTCCAGACAGTAGTTGAATTCAACCCAGTGGTAGATCAAAAATCCAGTAATTTATGGTTTTATCAATGTTTGAATAAAAGTGGCTAATTTGCTGACAGTTATGTATTTTTCTAACCAAAAAAAAATGTTCAATTTAAAATAACATTTTGATTCCATCAATTGCTAATCTCTGAAAGATATTAAACTGCTGTGACATTAGTTGATATTAAAATATGCTATTATCTAGGGTTTGATTGATTTAAATATAGGATTTTATATAGGAAATATATATATAGGATTTTGAAAGGTGCTGAACAAGCTGGCAAAATTTCATGTCAATCAGCAGTCAAGTGTATTCACTATGGCAAGTGCTGCGTGTAAGCGCTGCTAAGAAGTGACATCACTATTCCCCATAAGCACTATACTGCAATCAAATGCAAATCTCACTATAGACAGAACAAATACCTACAAGTGTCAAAACATGGAAGAGAAGGTGTGCAAATAATGTAGAGTTAATAAAGTTTTTGGTTTTTAAGGAGAAATTTAATTATGAAGGAATGTGCTATAAACAATTAATTTAGAACTTTTCATTAATTAATCATTGTAGGCTGTTCTATAGATTAGAAATTAAAGGGTTTTCATGGGATATAAGCATATGTCATTTTGTTTAACAAAAGAAGGATATTCAGGTCTTTCTACCAACTTTATTTACTTATATGTTTTGGTTTTGCAGGTAAATGGTGCTGACAGCTGCACAATTCGATTACCTCGGTATGAGCTGGATGCTCTTACACATGACGACGCATTGGAGCTGGCTCTTTCAAATGTTGATTTACAAGCGAGTACTGCTAACCGGAAAATAATTGCTACACAGTTCACTTTACATCCTAGTTATGAAGCAGTAATTAATATTGCTACAGAGCATGTCAGTGCAAAAGAAAAGGACAGACAAATTCAAGATGTCTGAAATTGTGTATTGGAATAATGAATGATTTTTTATGGCCCAGTGGTGAGTTCAGGGCAATTTCTTATTCTTGTGTCAATTTAAGTGTGTAATATGAGCCTGCTAAATCTAAGAGTCTAAATAATGGGAGCAGCATTATGGAACATACTTTTATTGATTATGAACATTTGTAAGTAATAGCCAGTCTTGTAAATATGTGAGATGTCATCGTATGAAAAATATTGTACAGTTTTAAGAATGGAAATATGTTGTAAACGTGTTTCATAATTTATTTTACTCTGATCTGAATAAAAAAAGACAACAAAATATTTTTGCCTATTTCGTAATAAATACATGTAAAGATTTTCTTTCAAAGAACTTTTTTTTTTTTTAAGGGCATTATAAAGAGCATTTTATTGATCATTTTTGGCAAGGTTTTCGGTCATCAAAATCCGCCTTCCTAATTATGATTGTTTCTTAATAATAGTAATAATTTATGAATGTACTGTAATACAATGGCCAGTATTTCATTTTTAATGTAGAAGTCTTTACAAGACTATCTTGGTTTAATTTTAATCCTATTTCTGTGTCAGTTCTTTTGTAGGGTTTATTAATCTTTTCTTTTTGTTGTACCTCCCCATATTTCAATACCATACTATAGGTGGGAGTGGTTGATAGAAGTGGACTAGTTTTTGTTTAATGTTAGTTTAATTAAGTTAGGTTTTGATCAATGAATATTCCTAAAAATGTAAGACTGTTTGATTTACAACTTTGTTTTCAATTTCCACTTTAATATTTTGTTGAGGGTGATGTTGATTAGGTTTAGAGTTGAATACTATAGTTTTATCAACATTTAATTTTGATTCATTCATTGCCAAGTCACTTTATAGTTTATTTAAAGATTCTGTTAGATTAGTTACTAGACGACTTAAGTTGGGCCCAAAACTTAATTAAAATTGTATCATCTTCGTAAGAAATAAAAAGAACGTGAGGAACTTCAAACATCATTAATCCATTTTAATTTAGGGTGCTGGGAGGGATAGTAAAAGTGCCACTTCTCCTCCTCTACCACTGTCCATCTATGAATAACATAAGAATGTAAACTACATAGAGATTTTTTTCCAGAATGGATATTTCTCTGAAAGGGGCAATATGATTCAAGATGCTACATGATTTACCAGTGAAAACCAATGTGTTGTTGGAATGTTAGTTATCCCAAATTATAAAATTAATGAGGTATAATAAAAAAGCACGCTGAAAGAGAAAGGGCATATAGACAGAAAGGAAAAAAAAAACACTTCTATTTCTTTTAAAAAGTTTCAGAGGTAATAGTTAAAATTTGCAAAAATAATCTTCTTTGGTCTTACTGCAATACCAAAATCCAGGAGTGTGTACTTTTGATGCATGAACTTCTGCATGTGCCTTCAAAATGTGTAGTTAAATAGACTTCAGAGGAATGCTCGCAACATCAAGAATTTGGGAATAGGCAAGAACATCTCATTAATTCTATGCAGGGTATTCTCAATCATAGATATCACCAATTGGAGGGGGCAGCAAGACCCCTTTCCCCTCGCAATGTTTTTGGTACATGTATATATTGGAGGGACCCCCCAGTAATCTGTACCATATGTAATGAATCATCTCTCCCAATAATTTGGTGCAAGTGACACCCATGGTGTCAATAAAGATGATATCTTAAATAAGATAAAGAAAAAGAAGAACCGTTGGAAAGAGATCAAGAACTTCAAATATGAAAGATCTTACATGTTGGCTGAGGCAACCACTTGGTGGAAATAGGAATTAAGTACATTTTTGTTTAGATTGATCAGGCAGTGATTATTATTTATTTTATCATGACGGTTTCTTCATTAATATGTTTAGTATATCAAACATATTTTACTAGGAAGAAATTCTGTGATTCATTATCTTCAAAATAAAAACAAATGTAGTTATTTGAAATTAAATAGAGAGTTTATTTGATAATTTAATCATATCAACACATGATCACTTAAGAGGACTAAAAGCCACTTCTATGGGAAAACTGGAACAGGTGCCATGCCTAGCATTCTTGATGATGAAGATGACAATGATTATGACTATGATGGTGACCAAACATTCAAAAATATGCATCAACACTGAAAATATTTACTTTGCATTGAAAAATCTGAGAAAAACTTTCAAATTGTTAATGAAGTTTTGTTGGCCCCTCTGTATTTACACTTTTGTGATTATATTTTAATTTTTCTTTTCATTTTCCAAGAGTACTATTTTGTTGGTCAGTGTATTTAGAGGATGTACAGGTCAAACCAATAGAGAATATTTTGAAGGCTTTGTTAAAGAAATTAATCAAAACGAAACAAGGATCAAATGATGTATTAAGAAAGTATCACATATCATTCATCACAGTTCAGAATCAACCACCTGAATAAATTGAGTAGGTAAAATGTTTAATATACACCTAAAACTAGCATTATCAATACGCCATTTGACATAGTCATTTATAACCATTAAATAAATGTACTTACAAAGAATCAACATTGACTAATTCTGATAGGCATTTAAGGAAGTTAAAATACATGTTTCATTTGTAATTCAACAAGCAGATAATTATTTATTGCTATTTATTGTCTAGTGGTGTATTAATTTCATGAAGATTGGATGCAAGTTGTCCAATACTGAAGTTACCCATGAAGTCATTATGGGGAATCTTCTCAAGGAAGTCAATATAATCACTAGGAAGTCCTGTCTCACGTGCCCCTTGCACTATCACCTGCCAGTAGATCTTGGAGGGTAATCGCCCTTCAGTAATCAACAGTCCCTCTGGCAAAGGAGTTGGTGGCTGTTCTTGCAAGTGGTAGCTTCGGCAGTGTAACTTGCGCCCATCGCTGGAATGTACATCCACTTGAATAGGTACATACACCCCACTCTGTACTCCTTCTTGCCTGCAAAGAAAGCATTAATTGGGTGGAGTCTCGCTTCTCTTAAAAATATTGAAAATACAAGGATAATGTTTTCATGATCTAATTTACATATCAAATTAATTAAAACATTTTGATGGGTAATATGAGGATGCATTTCATAATATTAAGATGCTGTCATCGAAAGTGCAAATATTTAAAAATATATAAATGTAATGTAAATACGTAAAACGTATGTAAATCTAGAGCAAAATACAGAAACAATTGTAATAATGAAAAGAGTGAGGTTATGCCTCAACTTGGCTTTGAACCTGTGAGCTTTGAGGGAGAGGTACGATATAAGGTTGGATTGATAGGGAGTCCACTTAGTTTTTGAAACTAATTCTTTTTTCATGTAATTAAACCCGCTGCACGTGCAGCCGAAGAACAGGCGCTGCAAATCCGGATTTCTAACCGGGGAAGGCGTGTCAAGCAACGCAACCTGCACCCGAAGGCGAGGGGGCGAAGGAAAAGAGGAGACGGATGCAATACCTGTCAAGGTCGTCGAGGTGCTCCTGGCCCACGGACCACACGGCGCCCCAGACGACGCGGCCGGGCTGCGGCACGATGGTGGCTGCGTGGCCGCCCCAGCGCGGTGACATGTAGCCGAAATCCAGGCGGTACCCGTCGAGGCGCGCCGCGGCCACGCGCTCCGCCGACGGGTTGTTGATGCGCAGGCGCTCGGCCAGCAGGTTGCTGCCGTACGCGAAGTACAGGAAACGCTCGCCGCCCATCGCGCCCGCCACTGCCGCACCTGCGTCAACCAACCGCGCCAGTCGCGCCATCTCCCTTCCTTGTCACTGTCACGTGACGCGTCGCATCGCCTGTTTGCTCGGCGGCGCAACGCTCGGTTTGATAAAGCGCGTGTCCCACGTGCGTGCTCACCTGCCGCGTGGCCGGAGGGCGAGGGAGGCCACCCCATCCACGCCGCTAGCAGCGCGTACAGCAGTCCCGCCGCGCACGCCAGAGGGCCCATGCTTCCAACCCGCTGCGATCGATGCTCTGCTGCTGGACGGCGCGGCGCGACCTTCGCTCTGGGGGAAAGGAGGGGGATGGGCAGGGGAAGGGGGCTCGAAATAACAGAAAATACTTGGTGGAGGATAACGTGTATTAAGCAACTATTCATAGAATACAGGTTTAAGAGCGTGGCTCGACACTTCGAGAGAAAGAGTTGGTAGGAGTTGGATAGATGCCCTGCCACTGTAACTCAATCGTGTTTAAATACGTGTACTTTTAACAACAAAAAATAATCAAGAATTTTCATAGGCTTCCACCTTTAAAATAACAGTTTGTTAATCATGACGTCGCACATGACAAGGGACAACACACGACAACTATATTAATAGACCTCTTGCTGTCACTCTTTTTGCAAATGACTTATGCATTCAAGTCTGAATGATGAGGACGTGTGCTGTGGGACACTTCATCTTTATACATCCACTGTACAAGAGTTTTTAATGACGTTGTGCCGAATCACGGAAACATCGGCATATTTACCGCTGAACCTAATGATTATATTTGGAAAAATATCAGTTTTTAATTTATTTTTGTAAAAGGTAAGCCGCAACTTCACAAATCTTAGCACCATTCTTCTGATTTTGTTTTACTACAGGAAAAAGTATATTATAAATTTTGCTCTGATCGTCTAATACGCTTCTTAAGGGTTGAATGAAAACGAAAAAGTCTTTCACTTTGGGAACAGCAAAGAAGAATCTTGTCCTGCATTATTCGGGACCGAGAGCAAAAAATCATGCAAGGAAACCGTGAAAAAAATTGAAGGTTATTTGAAACAACCTATTCTTTATTCTTTTCCTTGTTTGGCAATTTGCAATTTTAGTGGTCTCGAGTACGTCATTTGTGTTGCGGCATAACAACGTGTGTGACAAACTAGTGTGTTACGTATCAACAGGAGTAAACAATAATAATAAAGAGAATTCTATCTTTAAGGTATGTGATGATGTTTCTGAGAGAGGATAGAACTATCGCAAATTAGTCTTTGAATTTTAAGGCGGTAATATTTTTCCTGTTTGGTCTGTAGAAATAATGCGTATGTAGATTGGATAATTCCGCTCCCTGATAAGTCCCAGACTTTGGAATCAACCAGAAGAGTTTAGATACCATTTTCCGCATCGGTCCGATATGAGCTGGTAAGGCAGTATAATACACCGCCTAAAGGAATTCTGGCAATTTTTTTTTTTTTTAAGAAGACGATGCATTCCATCTTGTTTAGTGACTCACGGTAGCAACACTTCATTTGAGAACTACCCAAGAGGCTGCATCGTGGGGGAAAA